CCTAAAAACAGGCGCATCTGCTGCAATCAGGAGCAACTGCCGCACTTAGGCGCCTCAGGCGCCTAAAACCAGGCGCATCCTGCGCATCAGGCGCCTAAAAACTATGTGCACCTGCCGCACTCAGGCGCCTAAAAACAGGTGCACCTGCCGCAAAATGCAGCACACTTTTGACCAGTGCGGCTTGCCATAGTTTCTTTGTTTGCCAAAAACTGAAGGACTTATATTTTCACGTATTCCAAAGATCATATCCATTTTAAAGTAGATTCATACTTCTTTGTTAACCTAGCAAGTTTACCTTAAATATAAATAATTAAAAATGTTAATAATTTAATATGAATAAATAAAAGAAGTAAAAAAACATTTACTTTTAATTGCATTTGACTCTTTATTAGGTAGAACACTCTTTGCCATATCATTATTAAACTTTGACTTGTTTCCTTTAGACCAAGCTGAGTAATTTTCTTGGATATAGTCAAGTAAAACCTTGATTTCATCATGTTTCCATTTACTCCCAGATCTTTCATTAGAAGGATCTTGATTTTGATCATAATCTTCTTCTTCTTCCACCTCACCCTCATCCTTTTTATCCTAAAATAATTAATAAACTTTTTAATATCTCTCTTGTAATTAAAAATTCTAAAATATATACTTACCTGTTCTATTTCAAGTGGACTTAAATTCAAGTTTTGTTGTTGAAAAGAAGTATTAGTTAAACTATATAATTGAGAATCATATTGCTGTTGTGCTGTTGAGAAAGAGTGTGTTGTTGCTGGAAAAAATTATATTGCAACTGGGGAAGGGGAAGAACATGTTGAGAAAGAACTTGTTGCTGCTGAGGGATAGGAAGAGCCTGCTGTTGCTGCTGTTCCGTAAGAACCGGCTTGGGCAAAATTAAGCGTGAAGTTGTACTAGTTAAACGCGTAAGTACTTTTTTCTTTGAAGGTCTATGAGCGCCAGCAAAGTCAGTATTAGAAGTATAGCGCGTTTAGTAGAAGTTTTCCCTTTACTTTGTACTTGCAGATTCATAGTTTCTTGTAAAGCGCGTTTTTTATTTGTTAATAAAAACGATAAAAAAATTCTACTCAGGAAAATCGGGTCACTGATCGAGTTACACAATCCTGTTAGCCAATAATTATCAACTTGAAACCCGATCAAAAATCTGAACGATCAAAATTGAACTGGCCTATTGTTTGAAGTTCTATAATTCGTAATTCTCTGTTCACTCACGTGATTGCCAGTAGGGATTCTACCAAAATCGAAAATTCGTAAAAATCGAAACTATAGTGCCGGCCCGAATTACGAAATAAAATCACGTGACATTGGCTCTTTGCGTTATGCGAAATTTTGCACTAAAGTTTTAATTCTGGCCGAAATTATAAGTTTATTCGTGCAATAAACGTTTTATTTTAAATGCAAAATCATAAAATTTATTGGAAATTTTCCTGCCACAAATTTAATGATGCACAATCGATTAGAAACGATTAATCGAAATCAAAAATCGAATTTTAAAATCGAAATTAGTCGATTCTAAAATCGATTCTAATTATGGACCAAATTGTCAGTAACCAAAATTAGTATCTTTTTTCGCTTCGGGCTCATAACGGGTTCCGTTACCTAGTTTATAATTCCTGCAGTAGAGTTTAAGTTATATTAAAATTAGAACCGGTTTTCTTTTTTTTCCACATCAGTTATACAAGAAAATTAAAATTTTTTCGTAAAAAAAAAATTATTTATAAACATTATATAACACACCCAGAATGAAACTTTGTAAGTAATATAATTGATTTATTTATTATATCTTGTTAAAAAATATGAATGATTAACATAAATAAAATATATTAAAAGATGTGAATACAATAATATAAATTTATAATCTAAAACATAAACGAAGCTAGTAAGCTGTAATATAAATTTATTTAAGAATAGGAAATTTTCGTTGGCCCATTTATACATGACAAAGTTTTACCATCCGAATCGAATACTACATAAAATAAAAAAGAAATATTAGTATTATGTAAAATGGTAAAGAGCAAAACCAAACATTATAAAATGAGAATGCGATTTATTAAATCATGTTATTATTTACGTACCAGAAATATTAAAATAATATTCAACTACAAGATTTTTAGGTTCATCAGGATGTTTTTCAACAAGCCAAGATGCGGTAAAAGAGTAATCTCCTTTTTTTACTGGGCATTCGGATCCACTTTGTTTAACATAAACCTCGCAAAAATCTTGTTTATGTTGAAATGCTTCTTTGGTTGGTTCGTCCTTAAAATATGCCGTATATACAATCGTTGTACCCTGTTTAATAATTTCAGTTGCTGTACCAGCCAAATGAGAAGTAACATTTTGGCCTGTGACAACTGGATTCGGGGTATAACTTAGTAAAGTAATTGAATTTGCAAAGCTGCCTTTGCACTGAGTAAATCCATTGAGTTGATCCTGACGTTTCAATGGAGTTGGATTTGATGTTGCGAACGACACGAAAATCAAAATAATAAAAATACTGGTACGATTCATGAGTTATTATTAAAATTTAATTATTTTGTAATTTAAAATCCGAAAAAATATATATATGTATTATATATTATTTTTTGGAGGGAGCAGGAAGACTGAAGCGATACCGTTTTATATGCGAATCTAAATCTTGAAATCAAATGACAAACCATCTAAAAAAAAAAAAATTTTCTCAGATTCTTTTTTGAAATGTCTTTTTTTTTAGAATTTAGCCAAATGATCATTCATTCATGGGCTGTGGATACTTCTTTTAGTTAAACAATGACTCATTACATGATTTCATATGCCTAAATGCATCATTATGAATGAGTTCATTTATTTATTTTTATTTTCATTTTTATTGGACGTTAGAAAATAATTGCTTCTATGGAAAAAAACAATATCATTCTTGTTTTTTCATCCAAATTAAAAATTCAAATTTTTAGAATGATGTCGTAACCCTTCTATAATAACCATTGAAAAAAAGGAACGTTTCTGAATTAGTAAAAACTTTAAGTGGTATTTTTTTTTATTATTATTTGTGGCGTTAAAATAAGGATCTTTTAATGAAATTTACGCATAATCGAATATAATTTAAATGAAAATATCATTATATGTTATTTTTTAAATCTATCCGTTTTCCGCATAATCTGCATGGTAATCCGCATAATCCAAAATTAGAATTCGTTGCGGTGCAGATTTTTCCTGCTTTTAAATTATTTTTGGCCGATCGAAATTTTTATTTTTAATTAATACTGATGAAGGAGGAACTTTGTTATCCCAGAACGGAGGAAATTATAATTAATCACTTTGTTGCACGATAGAGTCATAATGTAAATAAGTATAATCAAATTACGAGAGACTTTTTTTCGCTTACACCTTACTATTTTTATAATTGGCTGTTATTCGTGTCCCCATGTGATTGAATGATCTACAATCACGTTAACTGCGGTTTATTAATTTCAAGAGTTCAAGAGTTAAATGACAAACTAGATCATTCTAGATTTGAGTTGTTGGATCAAAGCGTGAGAAAATGTACTAATTCCTACAATTGCCAATTAAAACGAAATTAAAAATATTTAATTTATTTTCATAACAACTAATATATATATTTCATTTTCTAGTAAAAATAAAATTATGCTTAATATAAATACTTTTAAAAAATAAATTTTAGATTTGTGGATATTTCAAAATTCTGTTATTTTAATTTCCGTTTTCGTAAGTTTAACGTGATTGTAGATCGTCCAATCAAATGGTTTACTACAGAGGAATAACAAAGGTGGGAAGGAGGGTACGCTAAATTTATCAATACTCTGAAAGTAATTTAATAGTATCATCGCTTTGCAAAATAAGATTCCGATTATATTAGTGTATGGCGTAATTACAAAAGCTTATTTATTAAAATTTTTTTGCGTATACGTTATAGAGGATAAAGATGATGTAACATAACATAATAACAATGTAATATGTATTATTTTAAAAGAATTATGTTAATTTTATAGTACCTTATAATAATGATAATCACTGTAAAATTAACGAAATAAACTAAATATCAAAAAAAAAAAATTGCTACGAAAAAAAACAACGATTATTTTTAATTTGTAAATATCTTCAAAAAAAAGAAAGAAAATTTTAAATTTAAGATATAAATTCGAACTCCACCACATTTCTTCCATATACTTCACTCATGAACACCTCTCGTTCGATAGCGGAAACCATATTTTGTTTATTCTTACAATTACGTTTCGGTTTATTGGATTCTGGTGGCTTAAATTGCTTAAATTGCCTAAATTCGGCTCTTTTTGCCGTAATAACGTTGCTATTACGTGCATAACGAGAAAAAAATTGTTTAAAATCTTTACCAGCGATTTACCAAGTCTCGCTTGCAAACCGCGAGATGTCTACAATCATTTTTCCTTGAAACACATCTTGCAACAGCCCTCGGTAAATTAAGAAACCGTTGCAACGATAACATTGCGTAGATAAGTCAGCAGGGGAGGGTATTTCAATGCAACGTTGCGCGACGATTAAATAATGGTTACGTGTATATAGTGTATATAAGTCCCACACGACTTTTGTAAAAGTCATGCGCTCCGCTTCGGACAATAAATCTATTGTTCCACCATTATTTTATTTAACCAATTTATATGTTGCATCGTGCAACTTTTTTCTTAACACACTGTAAATATTATAAAAGAATATAATCATAATAAATAGCACAGTTGTTTTAGAAATAAATTTATAATTTAGGTGAAAAATTTTTGTGTCCGAAATTATTAAATTTTCTTGAAAATTCTTTGTAATAACGTGAATTTTTCCACATTTTATTAATTCATTAAAACTTGTAGTCTTTGTACAACATTAATGAATCTTTAACGCTAATAAATTATTTATAGTTATGTGTGACATCCGATTTTATATTGAAGTATAATAATTGTATGACATTCAATTTCAAATTAATTGAGAAGCAGAATTTTTATCAGAATCGCTATTACTGTATCAGAGATTGATGTATAGTATTATTAGAAACTAGTTTTCCCAAACGCGATTAAACTTTAAATTTAGAAGTTTCTGTTTGGGAAAGTCTAAATGTATTTACGGCAAACCTTCGATAAAAATCGCCATTTGATAAAAAAATTATCCGGAAATATCCGGTTGGATCTTGTGATATTCGCTTTTTATTTCGAGTTTCGCTCGATGTTGTCTATAAGACTATAATATAAATCTTATAGTTTTGTCTTGCAAATGTAATATATTATAGGACAATACGTATCGGGCTTATACCGGGAAAACTTTTAAATGAAAAGTATCATTATTTTTATTAGACTTGAGGTTTAAGAATAGGTGATTCAACTGATTCATTACCTCTAAAAACTTACAGTATTAAAGTATTGAAATTGAAATATTATTTATATGTTTAATTAAAATCGAAGCCCTTGGATTTGGTGCTAAAAATAGAATTAAAAGAAGTAAAAAATAAATAATAAAAAAAATAAATAATGCTGGAAACTTGTTTATGGTTCTCCCTCTTACCTGACCTAATACTAACCTAATACTAACCTAATACTAACTTAATCTTAACCCTAATTTTATTCTAATTCTAAATTCCCTTGTCAGTGAGATGATTGTCGGCGAAACATTAGTGACCCTGTCGGTGAAACGTCTGTCGGTAAGATAGTTGTCGGTGAAATGATTGTCGGTGAAATGAATGTTAGAGTTTCATGGGAATAAAAGTTCGCCTTAAATATTGTTAAACACTAAGATAATAAATATATCGACTCTACCGTGTACAAGCCCCTATAAAAAATTTTCTGGGTAAATTCCGATAAATGATCATTTTTCTAGTTTTCATTCCAAAAAAACTCCGATATGTGATCAATTTTCTAAAAAATTTTTATAGGGAAGTTAAAAGTAAAAATTAATATGTAATTTAACATTACCAAAATTTCGTCCGTCGAACGGTAATACGGGATAATTATGTAATTATGTGCGCACAAAATATTTTACATTTGTACCAACTTAATTGAAAAAAAAAGTTACAGTATATGGATTGTATTTTGAAAATGAAGATGATAATTATTTACATTAGATATATAATATATAAGTTGTTGTTTTAAAAGCTCCCATGTCTAAAACTTTAAGAAATATATATTGCGCGCCGATGTTCAGTCATGCAGATTTTCATAAAGCAATGTTTTTATCAAGTGGAGTAAAAAAAAAATGGTGTAAACGAAAATTTTTATAGGAAAAGTTTGAGAAAAGTTTAAATAAAACTTATAAAGTGCATAAAAATGAAATTTATAGAAAGTTAAATGCAAAGCTTATTTATGGTGTTATAATTAAAAAGCGTCGAATGTATGGGCTATATCGGATTATGATCGCTCTTCAATGATTGGTGAAAATAACCACTACGTGACCCATTTCACCCAATCATTCGGTCCAGTGACCAAGTTAATTTTCCCTGGCATGTACTGTAAAATTAGAAAATTAAAGAACCAGGATATAAACCAAATTTTGTCTGTGAAACCTAAACATAACCAGACAATAAATCCAGGAATTCGTGAAATGGGTGGTTCCAAAATTCCAGAAATTTACTAAAGAAATGTGTAAAGGTGTTGAATTTTATGTAAAAAATGGATTACGATATAACTACTCCCCCGTTAATAGCTTCGTGAAAAGTTTTATTTCATAAAAAATTTTCTGTTGTGAGATTTAATAAAATAATGTGTTTTATTTTTAAAAACAAATATTTACAAATTACAAATAATATAGTAATTTGAGAGCGTGTTAACGGTGCCATCATCAACTTTTTTTAGCATCAACGTCAGTGGCGTTATATATTCACATTGCCATGTAACTTCGCAAATGGCTTTTGCTGTAGACTTGACATAAGCTTTCGACTAAACTCTTGATGTAAATACCTTAGACTTTGAACTTTTGACATGTAAATTATCGACATGCATTTGTGTGTTTTCGAGCTTTAATTTTTTTTACGTACAGTATTACCATAACGATAAGAAAACAGAAATGCCAGCTAACATAAGCACTCCATTAGAAACAAATATAAATATTAACAAAAAATTGAGTATATAGTAAATTAATACAATACGGTAATACAAATTAGTACGGACGCTCAAAAAAAAAAAAAATTTTCAACTTTTCCGTACTCAAACAGACCTTTAAAAATAATTTTTGATTTTCTATTCTAATAATTTTTACATTGTAACATCATGTGATCAAATTTGCGAGAACGAATAGTAAATATACTTATAGATTCCATAGACTTTTTTTTAATCTTGGTAAGTCCGGCTGCGCCTTTCTGGAGTCCCCGTTCTTTTTTCAAACCAAGGTGACATCGTCAGCTGGTGTTTTGGTTTACAGTTTTTTTTGAATTACTTCCGATTCAAGTATATACTGTAGTTTCTTTATAATTTGTTCTGTAACTTTGTTGGTGTAATTTTGTTCGTTTTGAGAAATAAAAATAAAAATAAAATCCATAGACTTATTTTCTTGATCGAAAAAATTATTTTTCAGATCGTTTATCCCTGGGCTTTTTTGTTTGAATGCTAATTATAAAAATAAATTAAAGCATTACTCACTTTCTTGTGGTGTCCTTACTTGTTCTTTGCGAAAAAGTTTAATTCTTTATCACTGCATTAATTGACACATAATATTTTCTCTTTTCTTTCTTGGAGTTACGCTAGATTGGAGGATTTGTTAATGTATATTTTTCACTCTTCATTAATTTCGGTTTTCTTCTCCCTTAATAATCCCAACACAATTACTTTAATAAGTGGTCAGAGTTGAGTTTTTCAGTTTGGATTTTTGCTTCGGCTTCTTCTACCATTTTTATAAAAATCTTCAAAAATAATTTTTCATGAAAGAAATAACTTGTCAATTCGACTAATCAAAGGATAAATGAACAATTGACAATTTAAGTTGGGCAGCTAATTTAATTACCTTGAGGATAATGTTTAATACGAAAATTTAAAGTTTTACGAAAGTATTTAAATTTTAAAGTTGTACGAAAATATTTTAAACTTTCGTACGTATTAGTATAATTTTTATTAGATTTTGTAAACGCAACGTACTATCAAAATATAAGGGGCGTACGGTCTGAACTTGCACCAACGTATAGTACTACTTTACTTATTAACTTTGTTATCTCAAAAATTGCAAAAATTTCGTACCGTATCGTACTTGAAACAGAGGGGACGATATGGATTTTGATCCGGTTAATTTAGTTAATTACGATAATGTTTTTTAAAATATATTAAAAGAGTAAGTAAAAGGGATATAAAATATAAATAGTACTGTTAAACAAAAGAGTAATAAGGTAATAAAAGGAAAACGGAATTATTTTTTTTAATACATTTTCGAACATGTTAAAAGAATATTCGTATCCAGTATGAATTTACGTCAACGAAGTAACACAATATGGCGTAACTTGAGATACAAACTCTTATGTGAATCTATTTTCTTTATTACCGATCATGTTGAGTTCAAAATTATATTCACGTTACACTTTAAAATCGGAGATATAAAATGGTGGGCGTCATAGGGAACGTATCAGCATTTTCCAAATTTTCCGATACCTAATTAGACAAAACTATTGACACAACAAATTCACAAATTAAAATACTCAAAATGACCACATTTTAAAAAGCAAATAAGTTAAACGTAACGGTCAATTACTTAAATATTATCATAATATTATATTTCATAAATTTATTTATTTGTTATTGGCGCAGCTAGATAAGAATTACACCTATAATTATTGCACATAAAAACAAAGCACTTAAAAACACTACACTTAAAACCATTGCACATAAAAACAAAACACATAAAAACATTGCACTTAAAAACATTGTACTTATAAACATTGCACTTGAAGATATTATGGGTTACTGATAAGAATTAAATTTATCATGAAAACATCATGAACATCATGAGTTAGTATCACGTTCAAGATGATATTTAGCTAATACTTTCGTTATATTATCTGTTATACATTAAAATTATCAATCTAGGATGAAGCAAGCCAAGCTTTGACACATTACTTGTATCTTTACACATGCTTGTATCTTTACACATGCTCGTATCATTTATGGTAAATAAATAAGCAGTTTCACTCCTTAAAAAAAATAAAATAATAATAATAATAAAAATAAAAATAAAAAATAAAATAATAATAATAATAAATAAAATCTTACATCAAAAATATCAAAAATCATGACCCCCTGTAAAGATTAAAATTAGAAAATTTAAATTTTTATTTTTTAACTCCTAATTTACTATTTTAAGTTTATCCGAAATTTTGATTACAGTTACAAGTAAAATTACTAATCGGAATATTTTATTATTTCCGATTATAAAAAATATTGGCGAGTTTTGTACAGTTCATTATAAATATTTAAAGGTTAATTATAAATATTTAAAGGTTCATTATAAATATTTAAAGTTCATTTATAAAATTATAAATATTAAAACCGCAGAAATGCACATTTTATTCTAAACAAACAATAATCTTAAAATAGAATAAATAATAAATAATAATAAATAAATTTAGTAATTTAAACACCCCTTCATTAAAAGATTATTTTAAAATTATTTAACTATTTTAAAATTATTTAACTATTTTAAAATTATACAAGTATTATCAAGAGGAAGGGGTAAGATTTATAATAAATAGATTAAAAAAATTAATTCAATTTAAGGGGGAGAATTTTCTTTAACTGATAACTAATAATAATAATAATCCTTTTCTTTATATGTTAGCGCGTTATAAATTTATTTTTTTTTTTAAAAAAAAAAAAAAAAAAAAAACGCCCAAAGCTTGTTGATCAGTAAAGGACAAGATGGATAAAAATGGGAAATTTTTCAAACTCATGATTATCCAAAAGTAATCATAGAATATTCTTAGAGTTATTATAGAATATTCATAGAAGAAATGGAAAAATTTTTTTTCAACGGAATTTAGGAAAAACAAATAAATAAATAAACAAATAAAATGTAAAAAAAAAAACCAATCATTAAACAAAAAATATCTTTTTCGGAGATAAATTCTCCTTTTTACTTATCAATTACATATCAAAAAATTGTTTTTACATATTTTATATATGAAAAAATTGTTTTACATATCTTATATTTCAAGTAATTCTTAACATTTTCAATAAATAAATTTGTATTACTTTTTTTAAAAATGTTGTCATTAAATTTAAAAAGTGAAACTTTATTTTATCTAAAAAAACTTTATCATAACAAATACTTTTTTTTATTTTATTATTAGAAAAAAAAAAGATTAAGATTAAAAACTCTATTTACAAAATCAAAAAATAAATAAATAAATATATCCTTAAAGTGAACTAATGTTGTTCGACTGTGTTACAAAACACAGCCTTTGATAAGATATCCATATATTCGGTAAAAAAAAAAAATACTATATACTATATATATATATATTATACAACATGCTTATCTGCGTACGCAATAAATCTTATCTAATCGTCTATTAATTATCAATCATAAAATTTAATAAAATAAAAAAAATTGATTTTTTTTTTTTTTGGATTTTCTTTTTTTCTGATTAAGATTTCTTTGATAATAACTAGGCTTAGAAAAAATTACAAGATAAAGTATCGTACAAAAAAAAGAAGAGATTATTACACTAAAATACAAAAAAAGGTAATTAAATAAAATTACAAAAAATCCCTCGGTCGCCAAAACAGAAGAGGAATTAAATATTAGTAATCATTAAAAAAAAAAGTCTCAATATTTACAATAATCACCTCATTTATGAAGTAATAAAAAAAAATTAATGAATGTCAATGATTTTAAATGAAGGAATGGTGTTCAATAAATTTCCGGCTCTAAAATCCTATTAACGTTAAATGGTTTTTTTGAAAGTTTTTTTTGTTTTTTTAATTTTTTTTATTTTATTTTATTTTTTATTTTATTTTTTTTTTTAAAAATTTTGAACCGGATAATTAAAGAACGAGAGAGTATTGTTCGTTGTGTATTAATATGTACGAAATCATATCCCACAATTCTTACGCCACTCTCATCAAATTAATAACTTTTTGAATAAGGTAATAATTTAGCGGCTTTTGGTCTCGGAGGAAGTTCGCCGATTATAATTGATTCAGATAATGAAGCAGCTCTTTCATCATGATTGTAATTGTAATTGTAATAATTATAATTTTGATTAAGATTCACGTTATAATCCTGGGAATATGTCGTATTATTATGAGAATGATTTGAAAATGTTGATTGTGTTGGTGGTGTATGTGAAAGATATGAAAATGGTGCTGATTGAATGGTTGAAGTTGGTGTTATGCGATTGGTTTGTTGTCCCATTTCATATTGTGATTTATGTTTAGACGATTTGGATCTTTGTCTAAGAAAAAAAAAAATAAAAAAATTTAAATTAGTTATCACGTGACATAATCTACTCGTGATTTTAATAACACAAATATTAATATACAAATTAATTTACCTGCAAAATAAGAAACCAAGTATTTTTGTCCAAAGTTCACAATATTGTTCATTTGCAAATTCACCAGTACCAAAACATAATAAAAATAAAGCCATAGTTACTACCATATGTAAAGTATTACCATTTTTTTTCCAAAATGTTATATCAATATCAGGTAAATAACTTAATTTTTGAATTCCATTAATTAAATATACAATATTCGTTTTTAATAATATTATAGAAGTTGGAATACCAAAAATTATTAATAAACAACACCAAAGACCCATACGTAAAAGTACATTTCTTGGTAATAACATTCTAGCATTTGGAGGTATAGAAGGATTTGGAGGAGGACCACCACGAGTTGGTAAAGCATAAGTTGGAGGTTCTTTTTCTATAGCCCATGGAATTGATAAAGAATTTTGTAATCTACGATTTTCAAAAACTTTTTGTGCGACAGGAATCAAAGCCAAAACTGATAATACACAAGAAGGATAAATTGGAAGATATTCAGGTAAAGTTCTAACTATAAATAAAATTATTCTTTGATTTCCATGTCTTGAAATTTCACATATTCCACCATCATCAAAATTTGTAAAAATTCTATCACCATTAATACCTAATATCATTACACTAATTAATACCGAAATGATCGGCATTATGAATGCTAATACTAAATTTAATCTTATAATACGTGGATCTTGTCTAGCAGCAGGATTTGTCAATCTTAAAGAAACATATAATTCAATTGACAAAGCTAAAGCAAGACCAGCATTTGATATTGAACTTAAAGTTAAAATCGAACCACTTATACCACACCAAACTCGTTGATAAGTTAAAGCATTATCAATATTAAAATTATCATTACCTAAAACTATACCACCAATTACATAAGAAAGCGATAAAAAAGAATTTGAAACGCTATACCACATGAGAACAAACCCATTTCTTTTTACTTGTACATAAATATTTTGAAAACAAAATATACAAACTATTATTGACGCATAAATTAACCAAAGTTCCATTATCTAAATGGATATAATTGCGGATTTTCAAATTTTTAAAATAAATAAATGTTAAATGATATTATATATAATTAATTAATTATTATGATATTTCGTTAAGAAAGAAAAGATATGATAACAACGAAATCATTAATAATAAAGGGAATTTTTTTTATTATTAGGAAACGATTTTGAGAAATTACAAAATAAATAAAGAATGAATATTTACGCTTTTTTATATTAACGGAGGATTATGGAAAAAAAAAAAAATGAACGTAAAAAATACGTAAATGAAAATATAAAAATAACTAAATTAAAAGGGGTTTGATAAGGTCAAGTGGTATATAAGAAGAATAGAACAAAGGGAGAATTTTTGTAAAACGAGATTTTGACAGGTTTTTAAATAAACAAAAATTATATAATGTATGAACGAGTTACTTTATATATACAAATAAAAGATAAGAAAAAAAAAATTTCTTTTGACAATCGAAAAAACTGTTGAGAAAAAAAAAAATAAACTCAAACTTTATTTTTAGGGACAAAATGGACAAAATACAATATTATATATATATATATAGTAAGTTAAAATCATCAAATCATCGGTTGAATGATTGATTAATGATAATGATTGTGATCCGATTCATCGGACCTCAAAAAAATGATTATACACGACGTATTTGTTTTGATATTTTTAGTATGTTATCAAACATTAAAATGTTATCAAAAAAGCATTTCTATTTTTCAATTTGTTTTCCTGCATATTAAACTTAAAAAGTTATTCATACGATATCACCAATGTTATAAAAAGTCTCAATTTATGCAGATCATTTTCTTATCAAATCTAATTGCCTTATTTAATGTTTATTATTTATTTTGCGCTTTTCTTATCTTATCATACTAAATTTTCTATTTTGGGATTTCCATTTTATCTTTCTACCAAGAAAAATTTCTTTTCAGGTTAAATTTATTTTCCGTAAATATCCAAATGGGAAAATTATATTTTTAAAATAAAAAATAGGTTCGGAATTTGTAATTTTTTTTTTTTTTTTTTCGTATTTATGGCATCAATGAGAAGTACGTCAAAAAAAAAACAATTTTTATTTTTATTTACAAAGTAAAATTTAATTACCGAGTATTCCTTGTTAAAGTAGCCGATAACCCGGAATTAAATTCGGAGATAAAAATATTTACCTACTTAAGGTTTGATTAATTTTTTTTTTTTTATCGAAAAAATCGAAAAAAATATATATATAATATATGTAATATATATACATAAGCAAATAAACAAGAATGCAAAGAAGATAACAAATTCTATATATATATATATAATGAAATATTATCAACCATGTGAAGTTTGTTTTGAAACTGTTGAACCTTTTTATGCAATGATAGAAAACTATTAATTAGCCTTAAACCAATTATTATTATTATTAATATTAGTGAAAAATAATTTATTTTGTGATATATTGTGTAAATTTTTTTTTTGTCCATCACCGTTTATAATTATTTTTTTGAAAAGAAAATATTATTCATGTATAGTTGCGCTAAAAATGTAACATTTTGCCAAAATAGACGTAGATCAAAAGCATTATTTCACAAAAGACGCAATTTAAACAATTTAAACAAAAACCACGTTACAAAATAAAAAATATGTCAAAAATGTCACACGCTGTAACCAAAAAATAACATATGATGAAATATATATCGTTCTGAGTGTAATTCTATCCGTAATTCCTTCCGTACGTGAAACCTGAATTGATGACGTTGTATTGACTCACGTGATTAAGCCATTGAAGCCATTGAAGCCATTGAAGTCATTGAAGCCATAATGATTTACCATTTTTACCCATAAAACTTTTTATTATGGTCTTTGGGTCCCGATTACCAAAGATTGGTTTGAAATGTGCTACGAGTTGAGATTCACTTGTTCCCTTGTGATTTTATTCACACGGTCATGTCGGTCTGTGCCGAAAGATACGAGCCTCATTATGTAAACAACCAATATTCATCAGATCGATATACGCATAATTAACAAATTTTTTGAAATGTTTGCATTTTACAATTTTTAAATGATCAACCAATAAAAGACATTACATGTTAAAATATTTAAATTTGATTGAAAGAAAAAAAAAAATAAAGTTCAAATTAATACTGTATTTATTTATTTATTTATTTATTTTTGAATTGCGCACAAATATTTTTTCCTACATAATCTATATGACCAATGATAAAATTGGAATTCAAATTAAATTAATTAGTTTCAATCCATTTATGATAACGTAATACTTTATGTTTCCTTATCGTTCAAATGCCTTATCGTCAAATGTTAAATGGCTCAAAACCCCGGTCGATGCCATGATAGGTCTAAGACATAAAAATTATTTTATTATGTGTAAAAATTTCCTATTAAGAGATTTTCTTCGTTATTTAGCGAATGTCTTATAATGGTGAATTAGTAATCTCAATACGTCATGTAAAAATCTGCGGTGATCATCTTTTGTATTATATACCTTTTGTGGTTTAACGTATTTTAAGATGTTACACCAAATTCGAAAAAATTGATCAAATGATCAAATGATCAAAATGTAGTAAATGTAGTGTAACTTCACTGCGCAAATAAGATTTCCTTTGTTAGAATAGATTATAGGATCATTTGACAGAAATCAAAAAAAAAAAAAGATGGATTTATTAAATCTATTAACAGTTAATGATTGAGATGTTGATGACTCATTGATTCTTAGATATTTTCGTTATTATATACNAAAAAAAAAACTTATTTATTTTCTTTAAATATTTTATGTTATTATTTCAAACAAATACTCATGAGTTATTGTATTAGATTTCCTATTTATGGCATCAATGAGAAGTACGTCAAAAAAAAAAACAATTTTTATTTTTATTTACAAAGTAAAATTTAATTACCGAGTATTCCTTGTTAAAGTAGCCGATAACCCGGAATTAAATTCGGAGATAAAAATATTTACCTACTTAAGGTTTGATTAATTTTTTTTTTTTTATCGAAAAAATCGAAAAAAATATATATATAATATATGTAATATATATACATAAGCAAATAAACAAGAATGCAAAGAAGATAACAAATTCTATATATATATATATAATGAAATATTATCAACCATGTGAAGTTTGTTTTGAAACTGTTGAACCTTTTTATGCAATGATAGAAAACTATTAATTAGCCTTAAACCAATTATTATTATTATTAATATTAGTGAAAAATAATTTATTTTGTGATATATTGTGTAAATTTTTTTTTTGTCCATCACCGTTTATAATTATTTTTTTGAAAAGAAAATATTATTCATGTATAGTTGCGCTAAAAATGTAACATTTTGCCAAAATAGACGTAGATCAAAAGCATTATTTCACAAAAGACGCAATTTAAACAATTTAAACAAAAACCACGTTACAAAATAAAAAATATGTCAAAAATGTCACACGCTGTAACCAAAAAATAACATATGATGAAATATATATCGTTCTGAGTGTAATTCTATCCGTAATTCCTTCCGTACGTGAAACCTGAATTGATGACGTTGTATTGACTCACGTGATTAAGCCATTGAAGCCATTGAAGCCATTGAAGTCATTGAAGCCATAATGATTTACCATTTTTACCCATAAAACTTTTTATTATGGTCTTTGGGTCCCGATTACCAAAGATTGGTTTGAAATGTGCTACGAGTTGAGATTCACTTGTTCCCTTGTGATTTTATTCACACGGTCATGTCGGTCTGTGCCGAAAGATACGAGCCTCATTATGTAAACAACCAATATTCATCAGATCGATATACGCATAATTAACAAATTTTTTGAAATGTTTGCATTTTACAATTTTTAAATGATCAACCAATAAAAGACATTACATGTTAAAATATTTAAATTTGATTGAAAGAAAAAAAAAAATAAAGTTCAAATTAATACTGTATTTATTTATTTATTTATTTATTTTTGAATTGCGCACAAATATTTTTTCCTACATAATCTATATGACCAATGATAAAATTGGAATTCAAATTAAATTAATTAGTTTCAATCCATTTATGATAACGTAATACTTTATGTTTCCTTATCGTTCAAATGCCTTATCGTCAAATGTTAAATGGCTCAAAACCCCGGTCGATGCCATGATAGGTCTAAGACATAAAAATTATTTTATTATGTGTAAAAATTTCCTATTAAGAGATTTTCTTCGTTATTTAGCGAATGTCTTATAATGGTGAATTAGTAATCTCAATACGTCATGTAAAAATCTGCGGTGATCATCTTTTGTATTATATACCTTTTGTGGTTTAACGTATTTTAAGATGTTACACCAAATTCGAAAAAATTGATCAAATGATCAAATGATCAAAATGTAGTAAATGTAGTGTAACTTCACTGCGCAAATAAGATTTCCTTTGTTAGAATAGATTATAGGATCATTTGACAGAAATCAAAAAAAAAAAAAGATGGATTTATTAAATCTATTAACAGTTAATGATTGAGATGTTGATGACTCATTGATTCTTAGATATTTTCGTTATTATATACAAAAAAGAAATGTTTCCAAAAAAAATAAATAAATAAAGATAATATAAAAATTAGTTTCTTTTTTTAGATATTGTTACGTTTCGATATTGTTACATTTCGCCATTTTTTTTATTTTTTTTCTTCTTGTCATTTATCTTTAATAAATATATATGCACTTGTACTGTACATATTATGCACTACTATGCAGTAATAATTAGTAATGAAAAATTGTATCTTGTATTTGAAAATTTTATAAAAAGTTCTGCAGAATACATTAGGTGAAACATTAGATGAACTTATTTGAAAACCTAGTATAGAATCATTGGTGTAGAATTTATGTTAAACCATCCTATACATTATATACGTGCATTTTTGGCGTTAGCCTTTAAACAGAAGCAGTGAAGAACTCATTTTCCAAACATTGCTTACGTTATTAACACGGCATTTTCTGGCAATTTCCAATTGCTTCAATAAATATAATCATATTGTTACTTAACTTACTGTTGACACGATGTCAAAATATATACCTTGAATGAAAAGGTCGATTCTATCTACTATCTACAGCGTCCCGTCCAATGTTATTACTAGCTGATAGTTCATTATATAAATCAATTACGTGTAATCATTGAATTCGTTTAACTATAATTGTTGATCGATCTCAGCCAATCAATCTATTTGTTTTCCATTACAACTTTTTGTTGATTAAAAAATAATAATTATTTGGATCGCTGATCAAGTCACACAAATTTTACAGTATTTAAATTTTTACAATAACAAGAAAGAATAGGATTTAAATTCACCTGCTGGGACGGGATCAGTCTATGCTCAGAGTGTAAATTTTTATTTTTTGACGTCCGAAATTTAGGATTAAATTTAACCGATTTTTATTTTAATATTTATTTTTTTTTAAAAGAGAATTAACTGAAATTATCGTTTTTAATATTTTTTTAGAAAATCAAATCAAATTATTATTCATTTTGTGAATTCCCAATACTACTTCTACTGAGGAATAATTTTACTTATTGTATTTTATAATGCACATGTATCGATAATTATTGAAGTGAAACAATTCCATATAAAGCCGCAATCTTTGTATTTTAAGCCCGGGTTGATACGAAATTTATTTTATCAAGCCCGGGAGAAATATATATAATAGGTTCAGTTGACGATACTATGAGCTGTACGCAGACTTTTTTTCATAAACATAATTGACCGGTTAAACGATATTGAGTATGATATATACCTCCGATGTTGTATAGTATAGTTGACAAAAATCTATACAGTATAGTTTTTATCTATACAGTATAATTTTTTATCCATACAGTATAATTTTTATCTATACAGTATAGTTTTTTATTTTATACAGTATAGCTTTTATCTATACAGTATAGTTTTTTTACACTATACTATACACCATCGGAGGTATATATCATACTCAATAACTATATTATCATAATTGACACCTGGGTATTGAAAATCCTACTTTATACGCAAATGCTTCAAAGTCATGTGATCTATAATGTGTTATTCAAATATTGTAAAAAACTAAAAATTAAAATTATTTTACTATTTTTTTTTTCAATAATATCTTTTTTCTAAAATAATCAAAATAATTATTGCTTTTCATCACCAACTATAAAAAATTTCCTTCAATTAAAGTTAAATTTAGCAAACTACATGATAAAAAATATGTAATCTGATGACCTACAGGCTACAGTAGCTATAGGAAAAAAATTGTACGCCGATCAAAGCCTTACTCAGCCTAATTCCAGCGAGCGCATTAGTGAAACCATATATTTCTGGGTCCTGGTATGTTCAGTTTTTCAAAATTTTCAAAAATATGGAAACTTGCGCTATCTGCAATATCTGATATTCAAAGATTCGTAATTGGTAATTTCTATGTGGACGTACTTTGATTGATGGAATGATGGTTTAAAAATTTGAATTATATATAATTTTGGTGAATAAAGATCCTACCTCCGTGATACGGCCGAGTTGCTGCGCCATATTAACCTGGTACACACTACACAGATGGTAAATAAATACTAAATTTAGAATTGGACTACCACGTGGAAACTGTGGCATACAAAGAATGACTAAAAAGCCTCCATTTCTTTTTCCCCTCAGTTTTTTATTTCTGCTATTTCTCCCTGTTTTCAATAAAAAAAAATGAATTTGATGAAAAATCTTTTGATTTACTCTATTTACTCTATTGCTTTGATATTTGTGTTCGTTCAATTCGGTTCAAGTTTACCAGTAGAAACGCCTCAATGTTTGGATATCAAGAACCCTCTTAAAATGTCTGAAGCTAAAGCTGTCCCATGTCCTTACGTAAATGAAAAAGATAAAGATTCAAAAGATCACAAATAAAAGTCATGTAAGAGCGTAAGACTGTAAGTAAATATTAATTAAAATGAAACGAATTTGAATGTTTTATATTTGATTTTTATTTATTTTTATTTTATTTTATTTATTTATTTATTTATTTATTTATTTTATTTTTACAGGCTCATATTTTGTATAACTTTTGTTAAACATAAAAAAGACAATTTGTTTATTTTTCTCTCTCTCTTTTTTTTTTATTATTATTTGTTGTATGTAAACAATTATTTATATTAGAACCAGTGGATTACAGTGGGTTGTACTTTATGGGTTCGTTGCGGAACAGGTCATAAACTTAGATATTTTAACCTATATACTGTACATTTTATTTGTATTTTGTATAAAATTTATTTTTATGAAAAATTGTATATTAATTAATACATATGTATGAAATATAAAATATCTGATATCTATTTCAATATCTATTAAAATTCCATTTTAAACTGTTAAAAAATATATATTCTTTTTTTTTTTCTCAAGCGTTGATCATCCAGAAACAATTACTTTATATGGCCATAAATTTATATTACAATTTTTTTTTTTTTTTAAAAAAGGAAATTGAAAAGGGGATTTCATTTTCGAATTTTTTTTTTTTCTTCAATTTATCCAGATTCGTTTTTATCCATTTTTTTTACCTGAATTTTTTTTTTGAATCGGATTTTGAATTGGATTTTCCCGATATTTTTTTTTTTTTTGAATTGTCCCGTTTTCGAATTATCCCGTATTTCGAATTCGAATTTTCTATGCAGAAGTTTCTAAATTTAGATTCCTTCCATGANTTTTTTTTTTTTTTTTTGTCTTACTAGATTTTGTGAAAAAATCTATTTTTTTTTTTGATATTAGATGATGAACGAACATAAAATTCCCACGATTCTTATAATAGGAGCAGGTCCAGGAGGGTTAACTTTAGCTCATTCAATTCAAAAAAATCTTAATTCATTCGAAAAGAAATTTAATATAAAAATATTTGATCGGGAAATAAGTCCAAATGGTAAGGTTTTTTTAATAACATAGTATTTTTACATAGCGTTACCATAGCGTTACCGTAGCGTTACCGTAGCGTTACTTTATAAAATTTTATTAAAAAATTTATTTATTTATTTTTTTTTTAGGTAAATGGCAAGGATATCATATTACATTAAATAATACAGGAGTGAAATCATTATTTAATTGTATTCCAGAATCAATATCATCACGTCTTCATGAAGTTGTATTAGATAATAAATTAGAACATCAAGAACATCATAGTTCATGTCTTTATGATCATAAAGGAAATGTTTTATTTAAAACTCCAGGTTATCAAGTTAAAAATATTTATGAATTTAATAAATTAAATAATATGTTTACATTAATTGTAACTTTTAGAGATAGATTAAGAGATTTATTATTAGAAGGTATTGATGTAAAATGGGGTAAAAAATGTATTGGTTATCATGAAGATGATGATAATGTTTGGGCTATTTTTGATGATGGAACTAGAGAAAGAGGTGATTTATTGATAGGAGCTGATGGTATTCATTCTCCAAGTAAGAAAAAAAATTTTAATTTATAAAAAATAATCGAGATTTAAAATATTAAGATTTTCTTATATAAGAATATGTTCAACAGACACTACTATATTATACTAACATCAAATTTAAATTTTTTTTTTTAGTTCGAAAACAGAAAATTCCTGAATTGAAAATAAATCATTTAGGAATAACTCAATGTTGTGCTGATATTACTCCAAATAAAGAACTTATGGATCGTATGTTATCGATAACTGGAAATAGTCTTTGTCAAGTAACGATGGGTCCTAAAGGAGATTGTACATTTTTAATGTTTCGTTTATTTCCTATAGATTCTAATGATAATAATAATAATGAAACATCATATTATAGAGTATCATTTGCTTATTCTTATCCTTCAGAAAATCATGAAAAAAATGATAATTGGACTTATAAAGATGATGAATTACCAACATCAAAATTTCCTGATGATGAAAATCCTGAATTTGTTTTTAATGATATTAAAAAAAGGATTAAAGAAAATAGACCTAAAGGAAAATTAACTGATATTTTTTTAGAATTTTGGGATTTGGCTAAATCAAGAATTGAAAATGATCATGAAAATTGTTATCCTTTAAGAAGAAGACCATTAAGGGATATAGATCCTGGATCTGTTGATCAATGGGAAACTACAAGAGTTACTTTGTTAGGTGATGCTATTCATGCTATGAATCCTTGGGTTGGAATAGGTATATACGATATGATATTTTTATATATTTAATACGTGTAATACGTGTAATACGTGTAATTTTATTAATTTTTCTTTCTTTTTTTTTTAGGAACAAATAGTGCGATTGAAGATGCTGAATTGCTTACTAACGCTTTGGCTAATTGGAGTAAAGATAATTGGAAAGAACATATTAGAAATTATGAATTGGGATTAAGAGGTCGTGGATCTTTTTACATTGATTTAACGAGGACATCATGTATTAAAAAACATCAAATTTGTGATGGTTTTTTAAGTATAATGATTAGAAATTTCATGTTTAGATTTAATTATGTAATTGCATATATTAAATCTTGTTGGTATGGTGATGGTAGAAAACGTGATCTTGTTAACAAAAACGATTAAATCATGGTGGTATGAGCGTATGAGAACGTGGTATGGATGATGGTATGGTGGTAGTAGAGGACGTGATCATGTAATTCATGTTAGCAAAAAATTACAAATTATAGGTATGGTGATAGAAAAGAACGTGGTATGATGAGGGTATGGTGATGGTATAGAACGTGATCATGTTAGCACAAATGATTGAAAAACAAATCATAGGTATGGATTATTTTAGCAAAAAATACAAATTATGGGTAGAACGTCTCATGATGGTAAAGAACGTGCTAACGTTAACAAAAAAATCACCAATTATGAGTATGGCGATGGAAAAGAACGTGATGATATTAGTAAAAAATAAAAATTATATATATAATGATGTTAATATGTGCAATTTATATTTAAATTATGTTACAAATCAATAAAAGTAAGCGTTATTCTCTATAATTTGTTCAAAAGTATTATAAAATGGGTTCTACATTATCCATGAAGAGCTTACCATATCTGACGTTTACTGTTAGTAATAAATTTTCCAGTACAAATTGATATCTCAAACATGTATTTGTTGTTGGGAGCAACAAAAATCAAAAATCAGCACGTCAACAAAGTCCTACACCAGTAAAATAGTTATTTTTAGTAAAAAATCAACATCCAATTTCATCAAAATGCCACGACATAAGAAGTCATCTAAAGATGTTCCTTGATAGAGGACAATCTGGCTTTGGAATATCCAAAGCGTCCCACATGATTCATCTCACGGTGACATTCGGTTAGCAATTATCTCGATATATTTAATGACGGCTTTTCGCAGCGTTTTGTGGCAGATGCGATTAAGTAGCTACTGGCTGATTATGAATGATTGTAAAGAAGTGTAGTTATTTTTTCTCAATCCGAGAAAAAAATCTTTTTTTTTTCCATTAACCACCTATAACTTATATTCCTAAAAATTTTCTTAAACTGAAATAAAGATAGCGACGACGGTAACAATTCTAAAGAGATATGTAGTCATTAACTTATAATCCTACTTGGGGTTTGGTGGTTGGACGGAAGGGTCTTTCTACTTGCCTCTGGATCGTAATAGATATTCTTTAGTTTTGTTGATGCGCTAGGGGTAAAAAGGATCTATAAACTGTTTCAAATTTACCGTTCATAGTTCTGAAAGACCTGTGATTGAACCTAGTTTTGAAGCACAGGCACCGGGTCCATTTAAATCCAAGTAAACGACATCCTTAGGCGCTTTTCATAGATCTTCCTAATAGAGTACCCTGATGATGTTATATCCTTTGTAACCTGTGGATGCAATTTTTCTTCTCCTGACCATCGAATCGTGACTCTTGTCAGCGTTCTTCTTATTTTTTGGTAGGAGTTAGGAAGCATAAGCTTGTGATATCTTCTGAAACAGACATAGTATTATTAGTTCAGAAGTCGCAACTCGCAACATTTTTAACATTAGATTACATAAGATCTTACTTCAAGTTAAGTAATTCTCTTTAATTCGAAAAGAGAGTAACTTGAATTATGATGCTGAACCCTGATTCAAATTTATATTCTTTGCAATTTTATTATAAAAGAATATGCTCTTAACGTTAAGTAATGATGTTATAAAGAGTGATTTTTGAATTACGGTAACAGATCTTTTTATGATGATACAAATAAATCGATTGTTACAGAATTAACTAAGCTAAAAAAGTTTGGTATACACAATTCGTTTCATTTGATCTATAAATCTGATCCACACGTCCACACCACAACTTATAGCCCACTCATCATTCATGAATGATCGCTCCACTATTCATGCAATCATACCTTAGATTTGATCTTTAAAACTTGATCCACACGTCCACACCACAACTTATAGCCCCACCCATCAATCATGAATGATCGCTCCATTATTCATGCAATCATACCTTAGATTTAGTTAATATTGATGAACCCATCACCACTTTATACCATCCTGTTAAATCAACTAGCAACCTTTGAACATAACCTAGGAGGCCATCCACATCCTCAACCTAGCAAGTCACTGTATAGTAAGCTATTGCAAATCTTTACTATTATTAAAAAATTTAGATTTTCTCCAAACATTTGCAAGAGTATTTCAATATCCGTGTTAATGTACTATTTTTTACGTTATTGCTGTTAGATATGATTTCTTATATTTATTGATATTATTTTAAAATAAATAAGTTTTACCTAAAAAAAAAAAAGTAAAAGGTAAATACACAATCTATTAACGGCCTATAGAGGATCAGCCAGTCACGAATTCTACCGCTCTTGGTGGTGACTCGATTTTTCATGAAAAGATGTAGATACATCTTTCCATTTTCAGTTACACTAAAAAGGAAAATGGACTTTTATTTCTTTTGAGATGTATTAACGTTTTTTCGCCTAAGTAACTACGATTAACTAATTATACGTGACGCAACAACGCGGCTACAATTGTCATATGGTCTAGGTTAAATGTATGAGAGTATAAAAAATCGCGTAAATTTACCACAAAAGATGACTCATAATTATATTGATCATATGATCATGCATAAAATATATTTTTCTAAAAAAAGGTTGTATTTATATAATATGAGTAAATGTTCTTCCACATTCTTCCACATAAATACCAATGTTGCCGATTTCACGTAAAAATATATTGATCGGATGGTTAATTATTACAGTAAATATTCTGTGTGTATTTTATTATGATAACTAGACTTCTTTTTAATCATAAGATGAATAAAAATCCAAATACAAGAAAATATAAATAACATGACCAAATTTTAAATGGTCTGAGTCATTTGAGATGAATGTAGGTCAACACTATCTTAATCAAATACATTGACCAATCAAAATCAAATGGATTTAACAAATGATCAAATGACCAAGTCATTACAGAACACTGCCTCAATGAGATGTTATGTGATCAAAATATTTATGTACTTGTTTTGGACATTAATGAAAGAGAGAAAAGAAAACAAAAACTCTGATATAATTAAACATAGGTCACCGGGTTTGAACAGCGGGAACAAAGAAATCTTACCTCATCAAGGCAAATACGGGCTTCTACCTCATACAATGGTAGGAACCATAATTGTTATCAGTTTAATCATTTCAATAAATTTGATAGGTAATAAATATGAACAATATCTTATGTCATAATAAGTAACAATAGCAGATAATAACATTCGCATGTTGTTGCTAAAGTCCGTTGAAGTCCGTTAAAGTCATTGAATTTCTAAAAAGATTAACATCTTTTGTTCCCATGACAATAAAATAAATACAACTTTTTTGGCAATTATTTGAAAGATCAAAGGATTTTCATATCTGATAAGTTCCAAATATACTAACCAATCTAATGACAATTGATGCGCACAATCTACAGATCAGTTTAGAATGTCGGATTGTAAAAATTTGTGTAATAGTTGATCATTCACTAGATTCCTTTTCTTTTTTTTTATTTACGGATGACGTCAAGATGACGTTGCGTTTTGTATTAGAAAAGTAGTATACCTAATAGTAAATTAAAATTCCTATCTCAATATTTAAAAATTGTGATTCGAACGATTCGAACGAAATTTTTTGCTATATATACGATTGAATTCAATTTGGTCTCATTTGATAAATTTGAGACGAGTATTCATTCAATTATATCCTTTTCTAGAAAGAAAAGAACATCATTGTGTAATCCTCAATGAATATACTTAAAATGACTAATTATCAAAGAAATTAGTAATAATAATAATGCACACAATGCAGTAACACTCAATAGATGACGATCTTTAATAAAAAAAATTGAAAAAAACAAATTGATTTCTATTTATAAATATTTATAATGAAAAATCTGACAATTGAAACCACATGAATTACGGCGTAGTAGTATATCAATTGATTGATCAATAATGGAAATACTACAAAAGCAATGACAAGTCATTGGAGAATCCGAACTTTCGTGTTATTATGAATATATTAATTTCTTCATATTAAAAAAAAAAATTTTTTTGTTTTATAATTTTTGAACTTGGACTTAAAATAATTTATCCGGATCATCATCTTTTATTTCCTTCCAAATCTGATTTTCATTTAAATATATATATATGTAGAATACCGTAATACCATAATGCTTTTTTTAAAAAATTTTTTTTCTCAATATGATAGACTTACGAAAAATACACAATAAAATTTACGAAAAAGCTCTTGAAACTGGCGAATTATACGATACGGAAATTATAGTTGGAGAAAAACCAAACACTAAAACCTTTCGTTTACATTCTTTATTATTAAAACTTCATTCACTTTATTTTCGTACTGCACTATCGAATAATTGGATAAAAATTGAAGATAAAATTATCAAGTTAGAAAAACCAAATATTTCAGTTGAAGTTTTTGATATTATTACCAAGTAAGCGAACACATATATGAATACAAAATTTATAAAATTTATTTATAATGCGAATTTCTTTCATGTCAACAAAATTTAAATTAAAAAAACTTTTTTTTTTTTCTTTAGATATATATATAGTGGTATTCTATATCTTTCAAATAATTTTAGAACAAACGTTGACCTTTTAATTGCGGCTGATGAATTGTGCTTTGTGGATTTATGCTCACATATCGTAGAATACATTGTAGAAAAACTTAAAAAAGACAAAGAATATTTAAGGCGTAACTTCATACTCATTCAACAAACTGCAACAAAATTAGATCATCATACAAATTTATCGCAGTTCTATAAAGATGCTTTTCAACAAGATCCTTCATTAATTTTTGAGGCGGGTGACTTCATTACGATAGATCAAAAATCTCTTCTTGATTCTCTTATTGAAAACAATCATTCTTTAAAACCTGTTGAAATTTGGGATAAACTCTTGGAATGGTGTCGCGCACAATCCGTTGAATTAAAATTGGATATAGAACATTGGACCGCTAATAATATATCGACATTTAGGGATTTAATTCATCCATTTATCCAATATATTGATTTTAAGAATATTTATCCGAAAGATTTCTCTCAGAAAGTCAAACCCTACAAAGATGTTTTTGATAGTGAATATTATATTACCATTCTTGAACACTATTCATTTAGCAATGATTCAAATGTTATAACGAAAGTTAATTCAGCAAATAGTGATCCAATGATTGATTCCAGAATTATTAATCCTGAACATGCTTCTTTACTCGTCGAATTTATCAAGGGAATAAAAGAAGATGCTTTTGGTACATCATATGATTTTAATTTACTCATTCGTGGAACTGATAATGGGAATAATGGGTTTAAAGAAGGTACTTTTTATGAATCTTGTGAGGAGAAAGGGCCTACAATTACTTTTGCTCGTGTTAAAAATACGAACGAAATTCTTGGAGGGTTTAATACTTTAAAATGGAAATCATATGGTACGACTATCTGTGATAAAGAAAATTTCATATTTTCTTTGGATAAAAATGATTTAAAGAATCCAATTTTTAGTAAGGTTAATGATGTAAATAAAACAAGACGCAACGATGTAAATAAGTTTATACCGGACTTTGGAGATTTATATTTTCTAATTGAAACAAAAGAAGGTTACTATAATAAGAAAAGTTATGAGAAATTAATTAGAAGAAGTGGGGGTCAATTTGAAATTGATGAATATGAAGTGTTTCAAGTTATCAGTAAATTATAAATATTGAATCAAAAAAAAAGTATTATTATTTTATTATATTATTAAAAGTAAAGCTAATAAATATATAATTTATATCATCGATAATATAAATAAATTACTTTTAATTGTTAAATTTTATTATTTCAGTCGCTGTATACCGGTAAGTCGGTAACGTCTTGTAAGTTGTAACGTTATTGTTCATATTATTATTATGGTACGATACTAAAATTGTCGGATAGTGAGTATCATGCTGGACACATCAAAAATCATTTATTTTCACCCTTTTTATTCGATAATCTGTCTGATATACAGTACCTGTGGCGGTTCTGGTTCTGGTTTCGGATTTACAAAATTCTAAATATAGTTAGTAATGAACTTTGACCGATAACTCTTTATAGTTTCGGCCAAATTTTTGGATCACAACTTTGACGAATTAATTGAGTTAAATCACGTGCAGGCGCAAGATTTCTATTGGTTACATAAAGTAAATTTATTAGGGTTAGTTCTTAATTCAAATTACCACCCGGAAAATCATAGAAAACTTTACACGTTAATTACTACCATTTATACTACAATAGATTGATTTTATTATTTTTAATAGTAAAAATGACCTAAATCTTTTTGATCGACAAAAGTGCGCTCTCGTTATTCTTCTGAAATGTAATGTAACATTGTAATTCTAGTTTTTAATTGCTATTTTATATTTTTCCACACTTATGTATAAATATTATTAAATAGTTAAGAGTAGCTATATCAGTCACAGGGACCTTCATTGATTGGGGAAAATAGCCACATAATGTGTTGTCGTTCTGACGTTTTTGGTCATGCATTAATTAATAACATCATAAATAAATTTCATTTTTATGCAATTTTAATCCACTTTACAAGCTTTCTTTTCCTACAAAATATTATTTGCACTATATTTTTTTACTCCATTTTATTATATAAATCATGTGTTATTGCTATGCCTAATAAAAATATCGGTCTATGAAAATCTGCGATTTGGTTTATTTTGAAAAAAAATTTTTATTTCGAGTGTAGTTTATGTACTGTAAATAGAATATATAGCAAATATCCATCCGATATTCCGAAATAGATTAATAGAGGACCATATTTTGAAACCCGGCCTGACCGAAATTAAAATATGAACATACAGTATTGTCGGGGTTGGGACCAGACCATACTTGCCCCATATTAATATGGGAATATGGGATATGGGCTGATAAACATACTACTTATCATTATGATTTTATATAAATTTTATTGAAAAAAAATTATTAATAAAATTGTTGGATAATTGAATATGGGATATGAGACTTCAGATTTATATATAAATTATAAAATCCCATATCCCATATTAATATGGGCGGCAAGTATAACCCAGACCGGAATTCTTTAAATAATAAAAATGTGAAACGCAATAAGGATTATTATTTTATTATTTTATTATTTTAAAATGACGCTATCTTCCCAAATTTTCCACCCACGTGACTTGTGTGGCGCGGTAGTTTATTGTTTATTCATCACACCTATTTATCTCCCTTTTCAGTTTTCACGTTATAATATTTTTTAAAAATCCTTTAAACAATGAATAAATTAAATATTTTTGAGAAGCTTGAGTGCAGAATATTGTTATAGAGTTATAGCTAATTTTTATTTATAATAAACGCGCTTTTTTATAGATTTTGTAATACTAAATTGAATACTTTAGCTAAATGAAACAAGGTTTAAGAAAGTTATTTAACAAGTATGTATCTTATTTTCGTGAAAATATTGCCGTTTTTAAAAGAAATTATGAGTTGCATTTGTTTTTTTTATTTTTGTAGTCTAATGTCGGGACTTTAGCTAAATGTAATAGGCTAATTAGCTTAGACAAAGTTGTTTAGTAGGTATGGAACCACTCCAATATTAATTTTTTTGTCAAGATATCTTGAATATTTGCAATAGTATGAATATTTTTGTATGGAAATTATTGTGCCGCGCGCGGTTGATTTTTTCACTTTACGGCGTAATTTTGGTACTTCTGTTAATGAAACAAGCCTTTGGAGATTAAGTAAAGTCATTGGCAGGCGTGGATTACTTAGATATTGATTTTTATTAAATTAGCTTTAATATTTATGGAGTAGTTACATTTGCGTACTTAATTCTAATAAAATGATTAATATGTTAAAGGAAAAATATCAGTTTTTCTTTTTTTTTTGGGACTTTTTCAACTTTTTTTTGTCTTAAGATAGACGTTATAATACATAATACATGTCTGAGACGAATAGTTGTCGTGATAGTTAGCAGTGCGTACTCAAGTGATGAATAATACACGTGATGATCGGCATGATTATTACACCATATTAGGAAGGTTCTAGCACTCATTATGCCAATTAAAATTTAGACGCCGCATATCCAACGCTACAATAGTCACGTGCCTGATACTCGATCACTTAGCTGCATAGTGGCAAATCACGGGTTTCTGTAATGATCAATACAATCTCATTCATTCCTGATTTGTTATTTAATCATTGATGTATAAATTTACAATGAGAAATATTTCAAATAGATTTTAGTATCACATTCCAAAAAAAGAACGGATTCGCTTCTTGTCGTGTTGATTGTTATTTTGGATTTGCTATATTTGATTTATTTTTTATTTTTTTGCGCAGTTTTATTATTTGGGTTACCTTTAACGGCCTAATAACAAAAAGAATTCATTGGAACAACTGTCGAAACAATAGTTTTTACATTCATATTGTTATGCATGAACATTACATTCATATTCAATTGCTATGCATTATTATGCATGAATTGCACGTACAATGATCATTATAGTTATAAATAAATTTTCATTCAAAATTTTTTTGAACTCTAAAAAAATGTCTTCCCAAAATAAAGAAATTGAATACAGCATTGTAGGTTGGACCAGCGGAAATAAAAAAATTGATGATTTCATTCAAGAAAGGCAATTAAAAATTAATAATCATAATGAAATAGTATTTGAATGGATACCATACAATCAGTTTAATGAAATTAAAGAAACAGGCAACAATGGATCTATAACTATATATTCAACAATATGGAGTAATGGTCCATTATTACACAAGAAAGCCAAGTGGAGTTCATATTATACAAGAGATTCAAATAAAGAAGTTGCTCTAAAATGTTTTCATAACTTCCAAAATCCTGTTGATTCTCTAATAAATGAGGTATAAATTTCTACAAATATTATTACATTTATTACACTCATAAATATAATATTAATTCCTGTTTATGGTTTTAGGCTAAAAAATATTCAACAATAAATGACAAGTTTTTTGTATTGTATGGAATATCTCAAAATCCAGATACGAATGATTACATTTTAGTTCTTACCTGGACTAGTGGAAATGAAAAAATTGATCAATTTATTCAAGAAAGGCAATTAACAGTTAATAATCATAATGATGTAGTATTTGAATGGATACCATATAACCAGTTTAATGAAATTAAAGAAAAAGGCAAAAATGGCTCTATAACTGTATATTCAGCTATATGGAGGAATGGTCCATTACATTATAGTAAATATACAAGAGATTCAAATAAAGAAGTTGCTTTAAAATGTTTGCATAACTTGCAAAATCCTGTTGATTCTCTAATAAATGAGGTATAAATTAGGATCCATTAATATATATATATAGGGGTCAGGTGATGAAAAAATTTTTTTACTATAGCTGTACGCATTTTTTCAGGGCCGGAATTATGATAATGTCAGTCTGTTACTATAATAGGAAATAAAATTCTGACTGGCATTATCAAAAATTATCTAAAAAAGGAAAGATTTTCACGATTTTTTTAGTTCAAAATACGCAAACTCAAACCTGACCCTTTTATATTTCTGAGTCCNAAATGTTTGCATAACTTGCAAAATCCCGTTGATTCTCTAATAAATGAGGTATAAAATTTCTGTAAATATTATTACATTTATTATTATATTTTAATATAACGCTAATTTCCTGTTAATGGTTGGTTTTAGGCTAAAAAATATCCAACATTAAATGACAAGTTTTTTGTATTGTATGGAATATCTCAAAATCCAGATACAAGCGATTATATTTTAGTTCTTACCTGGACTAGTGGAAATGAAAAAATCTATAACTTTGTTCAAGAAAGGCAATTAAAAATTAAAATTAATAATCATAATAATGTATTTGAATGGATACCATACAGTCAATTTAACAAAATTAGAGAAACAGGCAAAAATGGTTCTATAACTGTATATTCAGCAATATGGAGGAATGGCCCATTACATTATGATTATGATTATGATGAATATACGAGAGATTCAAATAAAGTAGTAGCTCTAAAATGTTTGCATAACTTGCAAAATCCCGTTGATTCTCTAATAAATGAGGTATAAAATTTCTGTAAATATTATTACATTTATTATTATATTTTAATATAACGCTAATTTCCTGTTAATGGTTGGTTTTAGGCTAAAAAATATCCAACATTAAATGACAAGTTTTTTGTATTGTATGGAATATCTCAAAATCCAGATACAAGCGATTATATTTTAGTTCTTACCTGGACTAGTGGAAATGAAAAAATCTATAACTTTGTTCAAGAAAGGCAATTAAAAATTAAAATTAATAATCATAATAATGTATTTGAATGGATACCATACAGTCAATTTAACAAAATTAGAGAAACAGGCAAAAATGGTTCTATAACTGTATATTCAGCAATATGGAGGAATGGCCCATTACATTATGATTATGATTATGATGAATATACGAGAGATTCAAATAAAGTAGTAGCTCTAAAATGTTTGCATAACTTGCAAAATCCCGTTGATTCTCTAATAAATGAGGTATAAAATTTCTGTAAATATTATTACATTTATTATTATATTTTAATATAACGCTAATTTCCTGTTAATGGTTGGTTTTAGGCTAAAAAATATCCAACATTAAATGACAAGTTTTTTGTATTGTATGGAATATCTCAAAATCCAGATACAAGCGATTATATTTTAGTTCTTACCTGGACTAGTGGAAATGAAAAAATCTATAACTTTGTTCAAGAAAGGCAATTAAAAATTAAAATTAATAATCATAATAATGTATTTGAATGGATACCATACAGTCAATTTAACAAAATTAGAGAAACAGGCAAAAATGGTTCTATAACTGTATATTCAGCAATATGGAGGAATGGCCCATTACATTATGATTATGATTATGATGAATATACGAGAGATTCAAATAAAGTAGTAGCTCTAAAATGTTTGCATAACTTGCAAAATCCCGTTGATTCTCTAATAAATGAGGTATAAAATTTCTGTAAATATTATTACATTTATTATTATATTTTAATATAACGCTAATTTCCTGTTAATGGTTGGTTTTAGGCTAAAAAATATCCAACATTAAATGACAAGTTTTTTGTATTGTATGGAATATCTCAAAATCCAGATACAAGTGATTATATTTTAGTTCAAAATAATTCTGTAAACTTAGTAAATTTGATGATTGGAGGTGAAAAAATTGGTAACTTCATTCAAGAAAGGCAATTAAATATTAATTCCTATGATGATGTAGTATTTGAATGGATACCATACAATCAGTTTATTAAAATCAAAGAAACAGGCAACAATGGTTCTATGACTGTATTTTCAGCATTATGGAGGAATGGCCCATTATATTATGATTATAATAGTTATAGTAAATATACAAGAGACTCAAATAAAGAAGTTGTTTTAAAATGTTTTCATAACTTGCAAAATCCTGTTGATTTTCTAATAAATGAGGTATAAATTTCTGCAAATATTATTACATTTTTTTAATATAATGTTAATTTCCTTTTGTGGTTTTAGACTAAAAAATATTCAACAAAAAGTGACAAGTTTCTTGTATTGTATGGAATATCTCAAAATCCATATACTGATGATTATATTCTGGTTTTTAGCAATAAAAATTTTGGAAAAGAATGTGGCATATGTAATGAAATATACACAGATATCCAGTATAAATGGTGCAAGCCATGTAATTTCATGGGCTGGAAAAGTGGAAACGACAAAATTGATGGTTTAATTCAGTTAAAAATTAATGAGCGAAGTGATACAAGATTTAAATGGATACCATACAATCAGTTTAACAGAATTAAGAATATAGGCAAAGGACATTTTGTTACAGTATATTCAGCAACATGGGAATATGAGGTTGCTTTAGTATGTTTCAACGATTCACAAAAATTTCTATATAAGGTATGAAATATTTCTAATTTTAATTTAAATTTTCTTTTAATTTGGTTTGATGTTCTTCATAATTTAATAGGTTAAAGAATCTGATAATAAATTCGAGATGTATGGGATATCTCAAAATCCTGATATAAAGGATTACATTTTGGTTCTTCAAAATGAATATTGTATGGAATATGGTAAAACATATTGTAAGAATTGTGGTGAAAAATATGGTCATATTGATCATACATGGTGTAAACAATGTCTAATAACTGCAACTTCTATTAATAATAGAAATGAAAAAATTGATGATTTAATTCAAGAAATGCAATCAAAGATTAATTCTTACCTTAATATAATATTTGAATGGATACCATATAATCAATTTAATTACATTAAAGAAATAGGTAAAGGTGGATTTTCTACAGTTTATTCAGCAATATGGAAAGATGGTCCATTAAAATATAATGTTGATAAAGAAATATGTACTAGAGTTTCAAATAAAAAAGTTGCTTTAAAATGTTTAAATAATTCACAAAATGCGATTGATAGATTTCTAAATGAGGTATGAAATTTTTTAATAAATTTATATTAATTAATTGGAATTCCTTTTTTTAATTAATAATTTTTATTAAAAAGGTTAGAGCATATTCAATTAATAAAAAAGATGATATTCTTAATGTATATGGAATATCTCAAAATCCAAATACAAAAAATTATATTATAGTTATTGAATATGCAGATGGTGGAAGTTATAATAATTGGATAAGTATAAATTACAGAGATTTTGATTGGAGGAATAAAATACAAACACTACTTAGTATCATTGAAGGTCTCAAAGGAATCCATAAAAAACAGAAGGTTCATCACGATTTTCATACAGGAAACATATTGTTTTTAACAAAAAACTTAAATATTCTTAATAGGAAATCATTATTTATATCAGATATGGGATTATGTGAAGACCTAAATAATACAAGCGAGGTAAAAACTTATGGAGTCATTCCTTATATGGCTCCTGAAGTATTAAGAAGAAAACCTTATACTCAAGCAGCTGATATATATAGCTTTGGTATGATTATGTATTTCACAGCAACTGGAAAACAACCATTTGACAATTGTGCACATGATCATTATCTAACATTAGAGATATGTAATGGAATTAGGCCTAAAATAAATAAGCTAGAAGCACCGAAATATTATATTAACTTAATGAGAAGATGTTGGGATTCAAATCCAGGTAATAGACCAAGTGCTGCTGAAATACATGTTGAGATTAAGTCATTTTATGATTGTTATAGCTCATATAAAAAAGGTGACTCAAATGCAATTGAAATTAAAAAGCAATTTAAAGAAGCAGAAATTTACAGAAAATCGCACCTTTCTTCTTTTAAGAGAAACAAACAACATTCAGGAGCTATTTATACATCTCGATCACTTGATCCTTTTACAAAAGATCTTCTTGAGTATGATAATTCTGAATGTGTTAGTTGTATCATCACTGATTGATTATGTCCATTCAGATTAAATTTTTATTTAGCAATCATAGTATCATGATATTTAACTTTCAAATATCCTTATCACATTATAATCTATCAATTAGATTTGCTGAGTGCAGATAGCAACTGACTACTATTTTTACATCTTCCATAAAGTTTTTTTGATATCATGCATTGATACTTGCCCTTTAATGTTCTACATCATAAGTTAACAACCTTCTTTCTATTACTAACACTGACAATAAACCTGATATAATTTTCAATATATATATATATATTGATATTATAGTTAGTTACTATTGTTCAACACTGATTATAGAGTATACTATGTAGTTTTTATTCACATAAATAAATCAGTTTGTAATTGAGCAATTATTGTTCGATTTTTTAATGAAGATATATTAGATATATTACAAATGATTAATATCCTTATTATTAGTAAACATCAGATAACCTGACACATAAAATTCCCATGTTACTTAACGTAAATTATTGTTTTAATCATAAATTCACAATTACTAAAACAGTTAAATAAAATTATAATTATGATGATCTGACTGTTAGTAATTGGACAAATAAATTGATAGACAAATTTCTTAAAGAGGTTGGAGTTTTATGCATTTAACCAGTTAATTGTTCCATGATACCTAGTAAATATTGCTTGTAATTTTATTTTATGGATAACGAATTCATAAATTATTTTGCTATATAGCAAATATCCATTCATTCACCAGACCGATAATTGTTGCGTATCTGACATTCCGAAATTGAGGATCATATTTTGAAATCCGGCCTCATACAGTATGTGTCGGGAGTCGGGACCCAATAAAAATGTGAAAACGCAATTATAAAGATTGTTATTATTTTAATATTTAAAATTTAATATTTGATTTTTTTTTTGAGAAATATTTGTGTAATAATTAACACAACGATATAAAGTAAAAATTCATAAAAATTCATAAGACTTAAATCACATGTATAAATATGTATAAATATTGGGACGTGGCGATTTAAAATGATGGTAAAGTTAAATTTCAGCAGAAAATTAGGCCAGAATTAATGAAAATCACATCCTCTCGTTGCAATTCATCTTAACAAACAAAAAATTTTTTTGCAAGTTTAAAAAGTTACAAAATTTATAAGTCTTTAATTGCATTATTGCAATAAATAATAATGATGATGATAAAGACAGGACAAAATAAAAATATTTATTCCTACTATCAACAAAAATTTCGTTAAATAATATAAAATATTTTTTGTCTACCTAATTAGAATTATGTTGAATTTCAGAATCTGTATCGTTAAATAATTTTCGCATAGATAATTCTGCAGTCATAATATTACAACGTTCTTCTGCTTTGAATTTCCACATATTTTTTATTATATTTCCCCAATCTCGATAGCCCTCTGGTAATCCGGGTAACTCTTCGTAATGATTATTCAATAAATGATTATAAAGATTTTTAATTGGAACATCTTTAAATGGTAAATTATTTGGTTTACGCCAGGTGATTTCCCAAAACAATAATCCTAAACTATATATATCAGATGGTGTAGATGGTTTAAATCGTTTTTTATTACGTAACCTATCTGGATCGTACCATCTTTTCCAAACCTCTTCTCCAGAAGATAATGTTATTATCGGATACGCTGAAGTTTTACCAGGATAAATTTCTCTACTCCACAGAAAATTTGATATTTTTGGCATTAATGTTTTTTCTTTTTCGTCATATTTTAGTAAAATATTTTCACTTCGAAGATCTAAATGTACAATTTTTTGCTATAAAAATGAAAATTTATTAGTTACTGTATTTAAATGCGGAATTAAAATAATAAAAATAAATAATTATTCTTACATTATGTAAATATTTTACGCCTACAGATATTCCCCACGCTAACCTGATTTTATTTTTCCAATTATTAAGATGAAAATGTTTTGATGAATTGGGATTACCTTGGAAATATTCAAATAAATCACCATAATCTGCATAATCATAAATCAGATTGCATTTACAATGTTGAATTGAATATCCATGAAATTTAATTATATAATTATTATCATTAAAATGATGGTCATTATAAAGTGTAATCTCTTTAATTACGCACAAATGAGTTTTGTAATTTAAATACTTTAATGATTTTCTTGTGAAAATTATATTATTTAATGTTAGGTTAATTTTAACAAAGATTTCTTCTCGAGATTCAATTTCTGTGAAAGTTACTGGAGTTTTACGATATACTGGATCTATAACATAATACCATCGAGATAAAGTTATATCCGTATCATCGTCAGAATATAAGTTAAGATATGGATCATCAGCAAACCTATTCAATTCGCATTGAATTTTTTTATTGTCACGTGATTCCAAAGCTATAATTAATTTTGATAAATGGCTATTGAATGATTTTCCGGCCTTTATTGTGCTAATAAAACAATCGAATTTATATTAATGAATATGTGTATTCTCTTAAAAAATAATATCATCAATTATTGAATAGTAACCTGTTAATTTCGATTATGTCGCGATACAGAATAGATGTTTTCTTTGCTAAAGAATTATTTACATCATGATCTTTTACTAAAATAAAGAGAGGAGAGGAATTAGAAAGTGGAATAAATTTTGGAATATTCTTAAAATGAATAAAATAACTTACCAGAACAATAGCGCACAATCAACCATAAAAGACGATTATATAAATGCACCTGATTTTTTAGGATACTTATAAATTGAATGTTTTGAACGTCATTGATTTGAAGTTTAAAGCCATAATAATGTTCACGCAATTTTTGTGCAATTTCCATAAAATCATTTGTCCTAAAGTGTTTTTTTCCAGATGCATTGGCGTTTTCTATTACCTCAGAAAGTATTTTAAATATATATTCTAATAGATATGTCAACCTTTTTTTGTAAAATTTATTAAATCCATTATAATTCGAAATTGAATTTTGACATTGGATAGAATTTAACATAAAATTCTTATCTAGTACATTAAACAATTCGTAATGATAATTTTCTTGAACTTCCTGAAAGAGAAAACTACCCATTAATAATCTTTTTTCATATAAAGCAAGTTTGATATTTTACCTGTGTTAATTTTGCCTGAAGCTCTTCTTCGATTATTTCATCATCAGGCTCAAATTTATTGTTATTGATATTTGTTAGTTCTGAGTTAAATATTTACAATTAATCTCCCAAAAGGTTCATTTTTCATATAATATGAATGCCAATAATTTAAATTAGTACTTACTTTTTTGTTTGCTTGACTCACTGATGTAATATGAAGTTTGCTAAAAACAAAGAAAAATTAATATCGAATAACCTAGGAGATAATTAATCGAATGTTAACTTTTGTAATTACTATAAATCCTTCCAATGTCATTCTATGTGGAATACTTTTGTCAAGCAAACTTTTTATGACATAACAAGCGGTATGATCTGGGCCAATATTACGAAGTGGCAAGTATTTGGTAGAAATAATTTCTTCTTTTTTTTCTTCATTTTCTCCATCCCAATAATGATAACCTAATTATTATGCAAGATATATTTCACGTCATTACAATAAAACACAAACAAAGAATTTCTTTATAAAAATTACCTGTTTCAAGAAAATACAGAATTAATCCAAAAGAGAACATATCCATTGCAAAATCGGCTTTGATTTTAATTTTCTTCTCATTCGCTATTACAACTTCGGGGGCCGAATAATTCAATTTGATTTTTGCATTATATGAATAATATGAACCAACAAAACATGCTGTGTCAAAATATATCAACTTCCAACTTTCAGTATGGCCATCCTTCTCTTGAAAGTACATTATATTTTTTGGTCTTAATTCGACATGTACTATAAAAAAGATTAGAAAAGTCGTCAATTAAATTTATAAACTTTATATTATTATTCAAAACTTTACCTATATTGTGTTTCTGGAGTTCCAAGAGTCCAGATACCATATCCTATGAAAGAATAAATATATTTATATACAGGACATTTTTTCTAAAAAAAAAACTAAATTATGAAAAAAATAATATACCTTTATTATATTGCCTTTCTCTTCTTGTCTCTGGATATTATTTTGACGATGCAAAAATATTTCCAAATCATATAAGGCAGATTCGCATACAATAATTGATTGCAATGGATAAACGTTTATCATTTGTACAATATTCTACATTTTAAATAGAATAAATTTAATAAATTTGAAATAGAATTCGTGTAAATACTAATATCATTTTACGACCTTTGCACCATGTAATTCTCTTAACATCTGTGATTCTCTTTCAAAATCTTCTCTTGTTTTGTAACTTTTTAACATATAATGAGTCTCTGAGTCATTCTTTTTATGGACTTTATATATGTTAAGTTCATTACCGTAGTTATAACTTCTTACAATTGTATATCGTTCTAGTTAAAATATTTTAATATTTTATTAATTAACATCATATGATCATTATTTACCATTTGATAAATACTGTACCTTTTGCCTCACCCTCAAGTTCAAAGTTAAGCATATTTATTAAATTTCAATTATTAAGAAAAGGAGGAATCGATTGTAAAAAAAACAAATTCCGGATTCTCACGAGCTATTTTCTACCATACTTCTTTTTTTTTTTAAAAAAAAAAAAATAAAAACTGCTACATGCCCGATAATAGTAATATTTGAATGACAATGCACCTCATTCGCTCAATCGGCAAACCATGTATGACTGCAGACCCCATATGAGATCTGCGATTAGCTCTTCAGGGTCAGAATTACATAATGCTGCCTGACATTATCCAAAGAAAGAAGGATCTACAAGTTAGTCTAGCTGTATTGTTGTTAGTTGTTACTTGTTACCTTTTTATGTATAACTAGCTCAAAAACAAATCGGGATAATGAAAATATAGGATAATAATAAGTCAGTTAATGCACGCCAAACGTAATACGTCTAGGTTCGATTCACAAAGAAAATAAAAGTGTTACACGATCTTATTCATTCGTGCTACTACTTGCTAGATTAACTTTTTACAATAATCAATCTCATAAGCTATTTTTTCATGAAACAATTGAAACATGCAAGTAATTTTATTCATTCATGTGCTACTTGATGATCAATGCTCGATTAACTTTTCACAATAAAAATATTGAGTTAACTGCAAGTTTTATTTCAGCGTAAGTTAATGCACGCCAAACACAAACACCTATAGTCGTATAGTTCCTAGATTATACGGTAAAATATACTGTATATCCTATAAATAAAAGTGTATAATGTTATAAAGAGTTCCCTTTTTACGAAAACATAAACAAATATTATTACTACTAGCTTCTGATTATAATATGGATGAAATTTTCGTAGAAATCGACGATAAAAAAGAAATTGATAGTGATATTGATAAATATAATAATAACATAATTTATAACGATGAAAAACCACATCATGGTAAGCCAATTACTATGATAGAAGTATCACCAAATGGAAGTTATTTTGTTACTTATAGTAAAAAAGACCGTTCAATTGTTGGTTGGAATGTTGATTATGAAAATGAAGGACCACTTAAACCAGAAATAAACCATTGTCATATCATTCATTACTATTATAACGTCAACATAAATATAAGCGTTTCCAATAATAAAAAAATCGCATATATTTATGATAACAGATTAAGTATGAAATAATAATTTGAATTATTTGATCATGCGTGCACTATTTAATTCTGACAACTTATTAATTATTTTTTTTTTATATTTTATCAGCAATAATCGATATGAACAATAATCAGAAAATTAAATTAAAATTTACAAGGTTATGTAAAAATTATCATTATTGTACCTTTAATTTAAAAGATGAATTTATTTTTTGTAGTGATGTTATTATTGCTGCGGATGGTGATTTTTTACGTCAAAAAATTATCTGGATTTATTCTACACAAACTAAAAATAACAAATGGGAGTGTAAAAAAATTTACAAGTTACCCAGAAATTTTGAACTTATTAGTATATCAAAATATGATCAAGTTTATTTATTTTCAAAGAGTTACATTTACTTATGGAATATTTCTACTGAAAAAAGTATAAAAATATTTATTAATAAGAAAACGATCGAGGTAATAAAATACTTTAAAATTATTATTATTAAAACTACTATATTGTTTTATAATTAACTAATTCTACACTTCAGGCCGAGATTAACAAGTCCTATATTAGAATTTCTAGCAATGAAAAGTTCATGTGTCTAAGGATCAATGATAAAATTATTATTTATTTAATTGAATTGGAAATTCCTATCGTTACTTTAAATAATGGTATTGTATTTAATTATTATATATATACTATTAAGCTATGTTAATTATTGTTTATACTGAATATAATTTTCAATTTAGGTATTCAACTATATAATTTTATTAGTAACGTTGATTACACTTTTTTATATCTTTTATTACTACCTTTATTAAGCAATGAAATTCGGGATTTAACTATGAAATATTGTTGGAAAGAATATACTGACCATTTACAAAAGAATGATCTATCGCAAAATGAAAATCAATCTAAAAATCTTCCAATTCATCCATTTCTATTTGATATCAAGTACGCGTTTGGAATTCTAAACGGATACGTTTGGCAGTTTAAACTTGAAGAAACGATTTTAAAAATGAATTCGTCGTTAAATGAATCAAATAATGAAATTATTGAAAGCTTGGATTATGATTCTAAGAAAATCAACAAGGAATCATATGAACACATAAATATTCATTTATTTGATTCATATATGGGTTCTATACACGAATCTTTTAAAGAAATCGTATCCGAATATGATCAGAAAAATGTAGCAGAAGGAATGGTAGAAGATAAAAAAAACTTAACGAAAGAAGTAGAAATTATATCCAAACATAATCAGATATTTGAAGCAGAAGGTAAGGAAGAAGATAAAAAAAACTTAATGAAAGAAGTAGAAACTATATCCAAACATGATCAAATAAATGTAGCAGAAGGAAAGGAAGAAGATAAAAAAAACTTAATGAAAGAAGAAATAATTAAAGGTTCAATTAAATGGGAAATAGAAAATCTTACTGGAGAATTGAAATTGCAAGTTTTTAATAAAATAAACGCTAATTATGAATGGAATTTAGTTTGCACAAGAACTGATAAATCTATTAGTTTATATGGAAAAAAGTTATTAAGTACCCATTATATTCTTCTATTAACAGAAATTGGTATTTCTATTTATCATTTTAATGGAAGTAATATTTCTTTGGCATATTTTTATTATATGAATTTAAGCAACTTATACATAAAAAAAAATGAAGAATGTGATATAAATGACAAAGATGACAAACATAAGTTGGTGAAAAAATTACAAAATTATCATAAAAAAGTACTTTCAAAATCTACTTTACCTTTACCAAATCATAATAGTTTTAAATTTAATGAAGATTGGGTCTCATATGTAAAAGATAATAAGTCAAATTTTTTGAAATATGGTGTTGAATTATTGTCATTTGCAATTAAAGAACATAATTTAGAATTAATAGATGATATCTATAAAAAATGTATGGCTTACTTTGAAGAAGAAAATAATAAGATGTATTTAAGTATTATTGCTTCTACAATACCTTTATTTAACGAATATTATCCAGAATATATTTCAAAATATTCATCAGAAGCTATTATGATTATAGATTCCACTACTTACGGTAAAGAATACCGAGATAACAAATTGCACCTTTGCTCTTTTCAATGTCTTCAAATAGTTAACTTATCTCGATCTATTTTATGGACAAAATTCAACGTATTAATGGACAATCATGCAAAAATCTATTGGATATTCATTGTCATTCAACCTTTATTAATACTCTTAACTTTACCCATTTCACCCTTTTTATTTGTAACATTTTATTCATTATTAAAATATCACATTATTAATGATTTTTCTTTTTATAATAACGGATTTTATTTTTTTTATATTTTTGATAAAATTTCAAAGTATGTATCAGCTGTATCAGCACCGACACCAACAATTACATTTATGATTCCTTACATTAAATTTGTTAATTATCCAAGAGATTACAATTGGCTTTTGGAATTTATTAAGCCTCAATCTACTCCATTTGTTAAAACAATAAGTAAAGATATCTATAAAACATGGAATGGTGAGGCATTAATTAACTTTAAATGGAATACATATGGAAAATATTATTATGCAATAATTTGGATTCTATTTATGGCCTTACTTGGATGCTTTACTTCTGCTGCAACAATTTCTCAGCATTATTTTAGTGATAATACACAAAAACAACTTTTAATTGCTTCAATTATACTTGGATTTATTCATCTTAGTTTTGAAGTTCGTCAAATTGTTTATAATCCTATAAAATGGATCCGTAATTTGTGGAATATATTTGGTAATATTTAATTTTCAAATATATAAATTATTTAACAAATTTAACTATATTAATTAAAATAATTAAAATTCATTGTAGATATAACTGCATATTTATTTTCAATTTTTACATCTATTTATTGGCTTCAAACAAATGAGAGAAATGTTTGGTTACTCTCTTTTTCATGTCTATTTTTGGATATAAAATTTTTATTATTTTTTAGAGTATTTGAATCTTTTGGTGTATATTTTGCAATCATTATTAGTGTGGGAAATCAGATTATTTCTTTCTTAGTAGTTTTGTTAATTATTATAATTAGTTTTGCACATGCATTTTTTATCCTACTATCACCAGAACCTGGTTTTTCTTTTGAAAAATATATAAATAGTAATGATCCCAATAACCCTTGGAATCTGGCACCTACTTATAGTAAAGTACTTGATGATGGGACAACTGATTCTAATCCATATATTATTCAGAAACCAGATGAAAATACAAACATGTTTATAGATTATAGAACTGCTCTTTTTGCAATGTATTTATTATTGACAGGTATATTTAAATATTTTACATCTATGTGCTATGTTTATTTTTTCTTTTACTTAAATTAATAATTTATCACTAGGTGATTCAAGTGCATTATCAAATTGGTCATACTTAAAAAATCCACCACTTGCAATTTTGACCTTTTCGTTCTCATTTTTGATTGTTGTATACCTTATGAATTTATTTATTGGATTACTTAATAATGCGATTGAAAAAGATAATAACAGAGTTTCATATTTAATGCAGAAAGCAGAGGTATTGTATAATTAATATTCAAATAAAAGTTTATTCATTATATTTTCTTGTAAAAGTATATTTCATGTTTTTATTTTAAACTGTAGATTTTGGCTGAAATTGAATTATTTTACTTATTACCACATCAGAGACGTTGGGAAGCATGGTTTCCTGAAGTAATGTATGTGATTCTTTTATTTAAAAAAAAATATATTTATTTCTTGACACAAACACTAATATTTATAATAATTTAATTTTTAAGGTATTATTACGCTGATGTTGATAAGACTCGTGAAGAAGTCAAAAGATTAATTAAAGATGGTCAATGGGATACCAATGAATTTCCAGAGATGAAGAAAGATTTATTTAAAAAACTTAATATTAAAAATAATCCTGCTGATGAAATTGATATGAAATTATTATTAGAAAAAATAAAAAACATAGAGAAAAGGTTGTGATCCATTACTATATATTATTATTTATTTAATTTTTTTTTTTTTTTTTTATGTCTACATTATTTATAATTTGATCACTGGAATTATAGAATATTATCTTTATAGGATGGGCCAGTTTGTAATCAATCATAATCATGTTATTATTACTTTATTTTTATAATAAATTCTTATTTGTCCTAAAGGTCGTATTTTTCAATCGCTTAAAAAATTATGATTTTATTGTGAAATGTTTTAGTCCGGTTTTTATGTAATAATATGCAAACCTTGCAAATTTTACACGATCATTAGGATTCTGCGGAATTTACTGCACCGATAATTGCCCGTCATTTTCAATCCTGACTCCTGAGCGACACTAATAATATTAGAACGCGCACTATCCTACTAATAGTATAATAATATTGTTATTAGAATGGAGCTACATTGGCCTTCGATCGATATTTTTGACGCTCCGTTTAATAATATACAAATGTCTTCTTGGTGATTTATACAATTAAAAGCTTGTTCAAGTAATTTCTAAATAGACTGAATTCTCGATAGTTCCGAATTAATAATTAGCGATAATCCAGATCCAGAACACAGTTTAAAATTCTTACAGTAAAAATCATAAGGCCAAATGTATAGCGCTCAAATTACGATTAATTCGATTAATTCACAAAGATTAAATAAAATAATGTCATAACTGGCATAATTGGATTTCAAGTCCGTTCTTACAATAAACATTATAAATTTAACAAGTGAAAGAGAATGAAAGTCCTGGCCATGAAAAAAAAAGAAGTACTCGGTCTATTCTAGAATAAATTCCTATATCTATTTACCGTTTTATTTTTTAAAATATAATTTGTTAAATGAATAGATATTATTATATTATATCATAACATTGGCACAATTTAAAGTGAAATTCATTTGATAATATAATACATTCATAGCAAATTATGATTATAATTCTTAGATTATAAGTTGTAACCCGGTTCTATAATGCCATCATACTAAACCCAGCTTCATGTATGCTTGTAATCGTAGCTCTTTAATTTTTACTAAATTTTTTTTCCGATCGAATAGATATATTGTAAATAGGATTCCAAGAGTCGAATTAATAAAACTGGTATAGCGTTTGCATAAAATGTTACTTTTGAATAACTCCAGGCGGCAGAAGGAATTATCCAGAAGAAATGCATAGAGTCAATAGTAAAAATGCGAATGCCAAATTGCCAATTTCTTATTATTTTTTGGGATCACAGCAGTTGCCACGACCATCACTAAAATATTATCCTTTATAAAAAGGCTTCAGTTAAAAAAACTTGCTACTTATCAATTTTATTTACTTTGTAATTTCTTTAGGTAATAGGGCATTAAGTTTCGATATAGCAATCACGCAATTAAATCCGGCCGAAATTAGCGCAACTTAATTCTGCCTAAATTAATTAACGTTCGATTGCTTCGTCTTATATCACGTGATTATTAATGTACAGTCGGATAGTCTGTATTAAACATATTTGGTTTGTCAAAAGTTAATTCGAGAAATGATTTTCATGTTATATTAGTAAATGAAAATGTTTTGGTCTTACGTTTTTTAGAAAAACATTTATTTTGGAGGCTAGTAGTTTTCATTTTTACATAGATAATTAATAAACGTCATTCGTGTAACTTTTTATGCATCCGTGGCGTTTATATAAAAGGGGCCGGAATTTCTCACAATCAATTCCTTTTTTTTTTGAAATTCGATATGTCTACCATTGAACTTGAAGGTGAAGCAAAAGGTACAATATAAATATAACAAACTTATTAATAATAAACGATAAATCACATGATGTTTATTTAATTAATATTAAAAATATTTTAATTAGAGCAATACACAGTTATAAACGATTATAACTATGGTAGTGAACTTAACGTATATAAAGCCTATAAAAAGGATGACCCAGAATGTCATTATGTGATAAAAAGTTACAAAACAAAAGAAACTTTTGAAAGAGAATCGCAAATGTTAAGAGAATTACATGATACAAAGGTTCGTTAAAATAATAATTTCAAATTTTATTTCAATTTTTTATTAAATTTAGTTTTGATCAAAATTTTAGAATATTGTACAAATAGTAGATGTTTATTTATCGCAATCTATTATTGTATGCGAATGTGCCCTTTATGATTTGGAAACATTTTTGGTACATCAAGATCATATCCAGCGACAAGAGAAGATAGATAGTATAATAAAGGTAAATTATTATTTGTTATTATTAATTTTTTTTTTATAATTTTTCTTTTTAAAAAATTTTTTATTTTGTAAATAAATATATATTTACTCCCGTATAGGATATAATATCTGGTCTCTCAGAACTTCAGAAACATAATATAGGTAAAGTTTTTAAATAATAATTTGTCTAAATTTAACTGTTAACTAACGAATTTTTTTTTTTCGAATCATTCTTATAGTACATACTGCATTAGCACCAAAAAATATAATGTATTTTCAAGAAAAGGACGGTTACACCGAAAGTTGGAAGTTAATTGATTTCAGCGCAGCATGTTTTGTTGGTTCATGAATTTCAATTAATAACTAGGTCATCATTATTGGGATGGTGTGAGTGAGGAAAAGAAAGAAGAAATTCTTTCAACAAAATATTTACCTCTTCGTATTCATGATCCTAATGCATGCTGTGTTATAAAAAGTTTGCTCAGTAAAAACATCTCACGCAGGATGCCACTGGACAAATTTATGGTATTTACGAATTTTACGTCTGTTTAACTGTTTATATTAATTAGATTCCTATGTTAAAAAAATTTTTATTTTTTAGCGAACTCCTTATTACACTGGTGAATCGAGTAAGTAAGAAAATAGAAAAAAAAAAAAAAAATTAAATTAAATTATTTTCTTATATTAATGGAATTTTCTGATAAAAGCGAATTTGTCCGATTATGAAATAAATGAAGAAGCATCTCAGGTAAATTTGAAAATACCTAATTAATTTTAAGAAAAAGAATTTTTTTAATGAATATTTTCTCTTCCAGCTATTTTCAGGAATTTCAAAAAAAAAAAAAAAAAAACTAAATGAATGTCTAATAAAAATATTACGTCAAATTCTATTTTACAGTCAAATTCAACGTCTGTATCACGGCCAAATTCAACGTCTTTATCACGACCAAATTCAACATATCTTTCACCGTTAAGGATTTCAAATATTTCAAATCTTTCCCAGGATTCTTTCGTGGCTGAAAATTGGAATTATAGTAAATTTGATATAAAAAATTTAACAGATCCGTTAGATTCATATCACGCATTAGAATATGTATTTAAAGTACTTGGCGAGGTAATAGAGAACGTCGTTGGATCTGGAAGAAAGCACTTTAGGAAAGATGATATTATGGAAATTGCACAAAAAATGCGTGGACATTTGAAAAGCTTCAAACATCAAAATTGGGATAATAATGATCAGAAAGTTAAATTTATAAGTATCCTAAAAAATCAAGTACATCTATATAATCGTTTTTTATGGTTGGTTGTACGTTATTGTGCTGGTAAGTTGTTTTATTTTTTTTAAGAATATTCCGAGATTTTATTTCATTTTCTAATACCTTTCTTCCCTTTATTTTAGTAAAAGATCGTGTTGTAAATAGCTCTCTAGCAAAGAAAACATCTATTCTGTGTCGCGACATCCTCGAAATTAACAGGTTAGTATTTAATAATTGATGATAATACTTTTTAAGAGAATACAAATATTCATCAATAAATTCTTGGTGGTTTTATTAGCATAATAAAAGCCGGAAAATCATTCAATAGCCATTTATCAAAATTAATTATGGCTTTGAAAGATCAAAACAATGATAAAATTCAAAGTGAATTAAGTAATTTTGCCGAGGATCCATGTCTTGATGTACGTTTTGACGATGATTCAAATATAACTTTATCTCTATCTCGATGGTATTGTGTAACGAGTCAAATATATAGTGATTATATTGGAACTCCATCAACAGAAATTGAAGTCCGAGGAGAAATCTTTGTTACAAAAAAATTATTTTTTAATGATATATTTGCCACAGGAAAATCATTAAATTATTTAAATTACAAAACTTTTTTATGTATAATCAAAGAGATTTCTTTTTATAATGACCATCAATTGAATGATAACGATTTTATAATTAGATTTCATGGATATTCAATTCAACATTGTAAATGCAATCTGTTTTATGATTGTGCAGATTATGGTGATTTATTTGAATATTTTCAAAATAATCACAATTCATCAGAACATTTTTATCTTAGTAAATGGATAAACAAAATTAAGCTAGCTTGGGGAATATCTATAGGCGTAAAATATTTACATAATGTAAGAATAATTATTTATTTTTATTATCTTAATTCTTTAATATATAACGCGTTTAAATACAGTAACTAATAAATTTTCATTTTTATAGCAAAAAATTGTACATTTAGATCTTCGAAGTGAAAATATTTTATTAAAATATGACGAAAAAGAAGAAACATTAATGCCAAAAATATCAAATTTTCTTTGGAGTAGAGAAATTTATTCTGGTAAAACTTCAGCGTATCCGATAATAACATTATCTTCTGGAGAAGAGGTTTGGAAAAGATGGTACGATCCGGATAGGTTACGTAATAAAAAACGATATGATTTTCTTCCACCATCTGATATATATAGTTTAGGATTATTATTTTGGGAAATTGCTTGGTGTAAACCAAAAAATTTACCATTTAAAGATGTTCCAATTAAAAATCTTTATAATCATTTAACATATAATAATTATGAAAAGTTACCAGAATTCCCGGATGAGTATCAATGTTGGGGGTTTTTAATAAATGGAATGTGGAAACTCAAAGCAGAAGATCGTTGTAATATTATGACCGTAGAATTATCTATGGGAAAATTATTTAAGGGTACAGATTCACCATGATTGATATTTTTAATCAGTTTTGTTTTTTTTTCTTTTAATAAAAAATTTTTTGAACAAATCATCATTAATATTTTGTATTAAAAAGTTTTAAAATTTTAATCTTAAAAAGGGAGAATCCTGTAAGGATTTGTCGAGGAATTTAAACAAAATTAACAAAATTTATATTCGTATGTGTTTGAATCTAATATTTTAGGTTATCGTTCTGTTACTGAAATCATTTAGCGAATTCCGAAATGGGTCTACGAATGAAATACACTGTACATATTTACGTAAACGGTACCTTCAAGGTTGTATGTCAATAGAAAATTACCGTATACTTTAAGGAGTGTGGAGAGGAAATGGAGTGGAAGAAGATCGATCAACAATTCACGATCGAATATAGGATGCATATACAGAAAATGGTTCGAACTGTAAGATCGAAAATGAACTTCTTTGCTCGAGATGAAAAAACGGTTGATTAAACACGCAGAATCACATGAGATGATTCAAAAATATTATGCGCTTAATACCGAATTCGAAACACGAGTAAAGAAAGAAAACAGGGAGTTAGATGTGACGAATATTAACGAAAAAAGAGCGGGTAAAAGTCCAATAGACAGAGTTCAAGAAGAGATAGAAGATGAATAGTTGGATTTTTATTTTATTTTATTTATTTTATTTCAGAGAGGAGTAACCAATGACAAGTACATATAAGGATGAATAGTTGGAGTAAGCAGGTGGTGATGTAATGCTAATCTTAGTTGAAGTCACGTTATCTTACGTAAGTATATTGTCGAATTATTTAAACTTTCATTCACATGTATTTTAGGGTAGTAGGTAATGGTGCTACAACTTTATCGGATGAGGTAAAGGTTTTGGTAAGAGGGAGGAATTAGGTTAATTCCAAACTCAAGATTTACTTTTATGGTTTTGTATGTTCGCTAAAAAGAAAGTAAATTACCGTATAGCACGTATAGCGTTGACAAAGATTTTAAAAAATTTAAATTTGATTTATATTAATTTTCGAATATGATTTATAGGAAATTTAATAGATCCATATATGATATATTGGGATGGGAATACGCCACATGGTACTCGGAATTTACTGATTATTTAAAATTTCAGTCCAATAATTAAACAAAATTTATACTCGAAATAAAAAATAAACTCTTTTTATTTAAAAAATTATCACGTGTAAAACAAACAAAAAAAAAAAAAAAAATTTTTTTTTTTAAGAATCGCCATAAAAAATTAAGGAACTACCTCAAAAAAAAGAAGAAAAACGTCATAATGGTAAGTTTTTCTAACAATGTAGTAGGAAGGAAGGAATGAGTCGATGCGGATTTTAATTTCCGAAATTTTTTTAACTGATTAAATCAAAATTTTTGAGCGAAAAATTCAAGTATTTTTTTTTTTTAAGGTTAAACTTTCAATACGCCCATCTAGAATTCCAAATATATATTTAATATCAAAGAATTGGTAAACTTCGATTTGGTTTCTCTTTTATAGCCGTTCGCTCCGGTTTCATCACATGATGTAATTGGTTATCTCGAGCCTATAAAGTCACATCATACTCCAACACTTCTATTCAACTTTTCTCTTCATAACTCTTAAACTATTTTGAAATCCATATAATGACAACTCCAGACTTTATTAAGTGCGAATGTACAAGAAAATAAACTAGCTTCTTTGTTGTCTTCTATTAAAGGATAACTATTCGGAATCGAAAAGAATGTCACGGAAATCAAGAATAATCAAGATAATTTCGAAAGGCGATTCATTTCCGTATGTACAGTATATTATTTCCATTTACAATAAAAGAGATTTAGTATTTTTATTTTTGAAGCTATTTGAACTAATATTGCTAAAAATTTCTTTTAAAAGAGTTACGTTTCGTTTCACGTACAGTTAATTCTGTATGAAGAGATCACAGTCAAGCCATTGAAACTGTATAAGACGTTGACCCATATTTTTTTCCTAAAACGATTTCTGATTTACTCGAACTTGACAAAAAAGAAATCGATCTTTTCACTAATACGAATTGTCCGCGATTTTTAATGATCTGGAGATATTTGACGTAATTTATAGGGGTCACCTTGACATACTCAACATAATTTCTAATTATATAAAAAATGAAAAGCTAAAAAAAATAACAATTATTTCACATGACATATCTTCGTATTTTCTTGATTAATAATAATGTAATATTTGAGTAAATAATTCAAATCTCGCTTAAATATTCAACATAGTTTACCAAGAAAATAACCTGTAAGATAGATATTATTTTCTTGTGATATTTTAATCCTTGCTGTAATATTCTTTTGCTATTTATTAAAACAAAAAGTTATTTACTAATATAAAAAAATTGGTATGTCACTTGCTAAATTGTTATAACTAGCAATGTTTGAAAAATGTCTATTCGAATATTTTTTTTTATTAATACGGATAAAAGAAAATGCAAATGATCGGATCTTAGCCCGTGATACATGAAGTTTCTATATTCATATTTATACTCAAACTCAAACGCCTCGTCAGTCTTACGTTTTTTATTGAACATATCTAGATTCATTTATGTTTGCAGGTATTTGATTAGTTAGTAAGAAGGTCAGATATTAGAATAAAAAAGGCATTACTTACATCACACAAACTTTGACATTGCATTAGATTTGTGCCACTCCCCTCCGGCTGGCTTTACTTTCTTTCAGTTTTATTCGATCGAATCGTCTTGAATTTATAATCAACATGACTGAAACTTTCGTCACCAGAAATACAAGACTACTAATCCTTTGGCTATGAAGAATCGTTGAAATATACTCGCAGCGCTATCTACAACAGACTCCATATTTTTATCCTAAGAATGTCATTAATACAGAGCTTAAACTCTGGAGAGCTTTCGTCAATTGTGTAGGAGATTGTGTGAAATATGTGCGTCAGAAAAGACATTGAAATTTATTTAACGAAAAAAGTTGGTATTAGCCTAACGTACCTGGTACAAACTGAGGATTGCTTTTATGCTATGCCATATTTTTCTAACACTTCATCTAGACTTCGGTATGAGGAGAACGCCCTTCCTTACACTCCTTAGCGAAGTCCGCAAGATTATTCGCAGGCCAAAACCTAAAACCTAAACATTGGAACTCTTCCTTACTCGTCTAGAGAAAAGCACGGCCATTAACGAATTATTTTAAAGTCATTGTCATCGAGGCCCAAGTCCTCTTCCTTCCGTAAAAATTCGATAAGGGTCTCTGTATTATATTTCTTAATTTCGTCCGCTAGCGTGAGCGCCACATTTCGGAAGTAGAAGCTGGTGTATTAGTTTCAGAGACACATAGTGTTACGTTTTTATATAGACTAGTTTGGCTCAGACAAAAAATAGTGTTACGTTCCGGAGTGAGATTTCTGTTCGGGCGACTGGGCGTTAATATAGGTTTTTATGTCGCACAGGCATTGCATCATTACACGTGACCCGCTTTCTCGTGTACTCGTGCATCGAAAAAATAATACCATCCCATCAACAGAATACTTAATTTTCAAATCGTGAGAACCCAATGAGACCAATGTGGCGGATTAGACCCATCCCTTTCCAGTTATTACAATAGCAATTATTATTTCAATTTTTTGTTTGTTTAACATCCCATATTGGAGAGAAATATATAATTCTAAATATTATTATTTTGACTTTTCTCATTAAAGGAAAACAAGACTAAAATAAAATTGATCTTATACGAAGTGTATTCGTGTCAAGTTCTGAGTGACAATTTTGATGACTACTACAGTATTTATATTCGGCAATAGAATGATTCACAAACAATTTGCATGCGTATATTAAAATTAAATGCATGTAAGGTATTGTAAAGTTTAAATCAATGATTGTTCCAGAAAATTTTTATTTGAATATTTTATCACAAATTTTTTCCATATTAAAAATAATTTTGTTAATAATTTAACAGATAAAATAAAATTGTTAACGCAAGATATTACAGCAGAATTTTAAAAAGAAATGAAATATTGTTTCAAGATAAATTTATAACATAATAGATGTAACCTAACTAAAGATTAGTAATGAATCCACAGTAAGAGAATTATAAAAAAAAAGGTTCGCGGTAAAATTATTAGTAAGTTAGTAAATCTTAAAGGATCAATGAATATGGATCCTTAGACTATGAGATAATATTAAAACTTTAATTACTAACAATTCATAATTCTTTCATATACGTAGAACAAACTTAAATAACTGAAAATAATCCTTATAACAGGTTTTTTATTTTTCAATAAACCATTTTCATATATTCTTTTACGAAAATCCAATGTGCAGTACTATAATTTTATTTATTTATTATGGGTAGTGTTGGTTAAAAAAAGAATCTTCTACTATATTAATATCAAATTATTTTAAATGTGCATCAATAAACATTGTATCTATCTAATATCTTAAAGCACATCTGAAATATTTAAATATTTAATAAGTAACTAATTATAAAATATAAAATATAAAACAATAAAATATATTAAAACTTTAAGCTTATAAGTTGGAATCAGTTTTAGAACGCTTTCCTATAAAAAAATTGCACATTAACATTCTATTACTTAATAATCGATTTAATAATATATATTTTACTTACCATGACCTTGAGTTCCATTTTGTGAATTACTGCGCTTCAATGATTTACTATTAATATTATTAATTATTAATAATTATAAAAACATAAATTTTTTGTTTTTTTTTATAATATACTGTAAAATACCTCGTGTCTATATTGTCTATATCAAAGTTTATATCTTCAGAAATATATCCTAAATAAAATAAGCTAATGTTAAAATTAATTGTTAACTAAAATAGTAGTAAAAACAATAACCATTAAATACCTTGACTTGAATTAAATGAATTTATTGAAGATTCATTAAATGATCCGCTATTAATAATTAATTATTAATAAAATTATAAAACATAAATATTTTTCTTTTTTGTAAAATACCTTTTGTCTATACTGTCTATATCAACGTTTAGTTTTTCAGTGATATTTCCTAAATAAAAAAATGAGCTAATGTTAAAATTAATTGTCTATAATAATAGAATTATTTCAATTGATCTAAAATAGTAGTAAAAACAATAACCTTAAATTAAGCAATAATCTTTTTTACAAAATTTACAATACATACCTTGTCTTAAATTAAATGAAAAAATTGAAGATGGATCGGAAATCATAAAACTTAATGGCCTGCTAGTATAAATAGCTCTATGATGAGGTTTTTCACTAAATTTAGGGCCAAGTTGTTTTAATTGTATTAATTCTAATCTTTTTCTTTCAGCTTGTTCATGTTGTTCTACACATTCATTTTTGCGATACCAATCACCAAGAACTTTTGTAACTTCAGTTATTGAGGGCCTTTTTGAAGGATCAGAATTCCAGCATCTTTTCATTAAATTAGCATAACATTCAGGAGTATCATTTGTAATTTCAGGTCGTTTTCCATCAATAATTTTATAAATGAGATTAATGTCGTGCTCAACATCAGCAAAAGGTTTATTACCTGTTGTTAATTCCCACATAATCATGCCTAAACTATAAATATCGGATTCTTTTGAAAATGTGCTACCTCTAAACATTTCTGGTGCAATGTAAGGTATTACTCCATATATTTCGTTATTAGATAATGAATTATTTGCGGGTTGTGATAGTCCTAAATCACAAATTAGCCATATTTCATATGTTGATAATAATATATTTCCACTATGAAAATCACGATGCATAAAATTTTTTCCATGAATTATATTAAGTCTGAAATGAATAAAAAAATAATGTATCAACATTAAAAATATTAAAAAATAACTAATTAATAATCGTATACTTCAGTAACATACCCTTCTGAAATATTCCATAAAATACGTAATTTTTTATTCCATGTAATATTAACAAAATTACCCTGCAAGTAGTTATGTAGATTTCCACCACTTGCATACTCCATTACTAACATAAAATCTTTTGTTTGAAGATCCTGTGTAATACCATGAACTTTAATAATATATGCTCGATTATAACATTGAATAAACGATATTATCTAAATATATAATAATAATTAATGAATTAAACAGATAAAAAAAAAATGAAATAATTATAACATACTAGATCGATTACCTCATTTAAAAAACTTTTACTAATATTTTGTGAATTCAAAAATCTTTTTACAGCAACATTATTACCCATCCAAGTTGCTTTATAAACAATACCAAATCCTCCTTTTGCTATTTGTTTTAAATTTGAAATTTGAGAATATGGAATTTCCTTTATTGTTGACTGGTTTGCTCTGAAATCAAGGAACATTCTTTTAATAGAATCATATATAATTAATGGATTGGTATTTTCATTTAGAATATTTTCAATAAAATTAGTAATCTCATTTAATATTATCGCATGTTTCATATTATTAAAGACTCCCTTCATACCACTATGGATATTGACATTAACAGTAATAAATAACATTCTTTTGCATGTTTTACATTGAGATTGATTTGTAATTTCAAAAATAATATTTGTTGTTAAACAATATCTACACCCAATATAAATTATAATGCAATTTGAACACCATTTTTGGCAGTCAGATGAATTAAATTCTAGGTTTTGGTCACAAATTATGCATTGATTATATTCATCCCACCAAGGTAAATAAAGAATTGGAGTGAACTTTTCGGTCAAAGTTGATTCAACAAATCCAAAAGAGATTTGATAACAAATGGGACATAACCTAAATTCAATATTATTTGATAAAATCTGATCATAAATTAATTTTTTGCATAATTTACAATATTTTCCACTTTCAATAAATTTTTGTCCTCTATGAATATTATAAAATCTATCATTTCTAAAATTTGTAACTACTTGCTTAAAACATAAAACTTCAGAACAACTGTTGCACCATTCTAGAATATTTTGTGTACAAAAATCCAAGCTTCTTGGTTTATGTCTATGATTACATTGAGTATCTTTTGTACTTATATATATGTCCAAATTGTTATTAGCAGTATACTCAAAATATAAAAACAAGCAATATCTACAATATTTTTGTTTAAATAAAAGTGTTACAGAATAGGGCTCTTTACAATAATGACATTTATCATCATTATTATTAAAAGAAATAAACATAATTGGCACAATTAGATTTTCTAAATTTGTTATTTGTGAATATGAAATCCAGTCCATTAATAATTTTGAAGAAAGACAAAGCCTAGTTATGTGATTATATATTTCTAATTGATTGGAATTCTCATTAATAATATTCATAAAATGAGAAATTTGATTATAAGCATTAACGTTGAATGTTGCATATTGCTTATTATCAAAAACTTCCTTTATTATAGCTTTATAAACAACATTTAATATTCCATCACATTTTTTGCATTGAGATTGATTTGTAATTCCAAAGATAATATTTGTTGTTAAACAATATCTACATCCAATATAAATTATAATGCAATTTGAACACCATTTTTGATGATCAGAATTAAATTTTAGGATTTGATCACAAAATATACATTGATTATTAGCATCCCACCAAGGTAAATAAATGATTGGAATGGTTTTTTCAGTCATAGTTGATTCAATCAATCCAGAAGAAATTTGATAACAATTTTTACATAACTTAAATTCAATAATGTCTAAAGAAATCTGATCATAAATTAATTTTCCACATAATTTACAATATTTTCCACTTTCAATAAATTTTTGTCCTCCATGAATATCATTAAATCCATCAAATCTACAATTTGTAACTACTTGTTTAAAATATAAAACTTCAGAACAACTATTGCACCATTCTTGAATATTTTGTGTACAAAAATCCAAGCTTCTTGGTCTATGTCTATTACATTGAGTATCTTTTGTACTTATATATATATCCAAATTATTATTAGTTGTATACTTAAAATATAAAAACAAGCAGTATCTACAATATTTTTGTTGAAATAAAGGCGTTACAGAATAGGACTCTTTACAATAATAACATTTATCCTTACTATTATCAAAAGGAATAAATACAATTGGCACAATTACACTTTCATTATTTTCTAAATTTATTATTTGCGAATATGAAATCAGATCCATTAATGATTTTGAAGGAAGATAAAGTCCAATTATGAAATTATATATCTTTAATTGATTGGAATTTTCATTAATATTATTCATAAAATGAGCAATTTGGTTATAAGCATTGTTGTTTAGTGTTGCATATTGCTTATCAGGAACTTCCTCTATGACTTTATTACTATCAACATCTAATATCCTATCACATTTTTTACATTTAGATTGATTGGTAATTCCAAAAATAATATTTGTTGTTAAACAATATCTACATCCAATATAAATTAAAATACAATTTGAACACCATTTTTGGCAATTAGAAGAATTAAATTCTAGGATTTGATCACAAGATATACATTGATTATTAGCATCCCACCAAGGTAAATATAGAATAGGAATAACTTTTTCTGTTATAGTTGATTCAATCCATTCAAAAGAAATTTGGTAACAATTTGTACATAACTTAAATTCAATATTATTTGATGTAATCTGATTATAAATTAATTTTTCACATAATTTACAATGTTTTTCACTTTCAATAAGTTCTTGTTTTCCGTGAAAAAATATTTCATTGAATGTATCAAATCTACAATTTGTAACTACTTGTTTAAAATATAAAACTTCAGAACAACTGTTGCACCATTCTTGAATATTTTGTGTACAAAAATCCAAGCCTCTAGGTTTATGTCTATTACATTGAGTATCTTTTGTACATATATATATGTCCAAATTGTTATTAGCGGTATACCTAAAATATAAAAACAAGCAGTATCTACAATATTTTTGTTGAAATAAAGGTGTTACAGAATAAGGCTCTTTACAATAATGACACTCATCCACATTATTATTAAAAGGAATAAACATAATTGGCACAATTGGGTTTTCTAAGTCTGTTATTTGTGCATATGAAATCCAGTCCATTAATGGTTTTAATGACTTTAAAGAAATATAATCCAGATTTCTTATAAAATCATATACTTTCAATGGATCATTATTATCATCAATATAATTAACAATTTGGAAATGATTAACAAAGTTTATCCTCATAGAAACAAATATTTCTCTTTCAATACTTTTGATATCAATAGTAATTAATGTTACTTCTTGGCATTTTTTACATTGAGATTGATTGGTAATTCCAAAAATAATATTTGTTGTTAAACAATATCTACATCCAATATAAATTATAATGCAATTTGAACACCATTTTTGGCAATTAGAAGAATTCAATTCTAGGGTTTGATCACAAAATATACATTGATTATTAGCATTCCACCAAGGCAAATAAATGATTGGAATGGTTTTTTCAGTCATAGATGATTCAATCAATCCAGAAGAAATTTGATAACAATTTTTACATAACCTAAATTCAATATTGTCTAATGAAATCTGATCATAAATTAATTTTCCACACAATTTACAATATTTTCCACTATCAATAAAATTTTGTCTGCCATGAATATCATTAAATCCATCAAATCTACAATTTGTAACTACTTGTTTAAAATATGAAACTTCAGAACAACTGTTGCACCATTCTTGAATATTTTGTGTACAAAAATCCAAGCCTCTAGGTTTATGTCTATTACATTGAGTATCTTTTGTACATATATATATGTCCAAATTGTTATTAGCGGTATACCTAAAATATAAAAACAAGCAGTATCTACAATATTTTTGTTGAAATAAAGGTGTTACAGAATAAGGCTCTTTACAATAATGACACTCATCCACATTATTATTAAAAGGAATAAACATAATTGGCACAATTGGGTTTTCTAAGTCTGTTATTTGTGCATATGAAATCCAGTCCATTAATGGTTTTAATGACTTTAAAGAAATATAATCCAGATTTCTTATAAAATCATATACTTTCAATGGATCATTATTATCATCAATATAATTAACAATTTGGAAATGATTAACAAAGTTTATCCTCATAGAAACAAATATTTCTCTTTCAATACTTTTGATATCAATAGTAATTAATGTTACTTCTTGGCATTTTTTACATTGAGATTGATTGGTAATTCCAAAAATAATATTTGTTGTTAAACAATATCTACATCCAATATAAATTATAATGCAATTTGAACACCATTTTTGGCAATTAGAAGAATTCAATTCTAGGGTTTGATCACAAAATATACATTGATTATTAGCATTCCACCAAGGCAAATAAATGATTGGAATGGTTTTTTCAGTCATAGATGATTCAATCAATCCAGAAGAAATTTGATAACAATTTTTACATAACCTAAATTCAATATTGTCTAATGAAATCTGATCATAAATTAATTTTCCACACAATTTACAATATTTTCCACTATCAATAAAATTTTGTCTGCCATGAATATCATTAAATCCATCAAATCTACAATTTGTAACTACTTGTTTAAAATATGAAACTTCAGAACAACTGTTGCACCATTCTTGAATATTTTGTGTACAAAAATCCAAGCTTCTAGGTTTATGTCTATTACACTGAATATCTTTTGTACTTATATATATGTCCAAATTGTTATTAGCAGTATACTTAAAATATAAAAAGCAAATCCTACAATATTTTTGTTTAAATAAAAGTGTCTTAGAATAAGGCTCATTACAATAATGACATTTATCATCATTATTATTAAAAGGAATAAACATAATCGGTATGATTAGGTTATTTAAATTTGTCATTTGTGAATATGAACACCAATCTATTAATGGTCCTAAAGTATGATAATTAAGATTTTTTATAAAACTGTATACCTCTAATGGAGCAGAAGTTTCAACTCTATTATCCATATAATTAACAATTTGATAATGATTATCAGAGTTGATTTTTGTAGAAAAAATAATTTCTTTTTCAGTAGATTTTATTTCAATAGTGATTAATAACATTCTTTCACATTTTTTACATTGAGATTGGTCTGTAATTCCAAAGATAATATTTGTTGTTAAACAATATCTACATCCAATATAAATTATAATGCAATTTGAACACCATTTTTGATGATCAGAATTAAATTTTAGGATTTGATTACAAACTATACATTGATCACGAGCATCCCACCAAGGTAAATAAAGGATTGGAATGGTTTTTTCAGTCATAGTTGATTCAATCCATCCAGAAGAAATTTTATAACAATCTGAACACAATCTAAAATCAATATTCTTGCGAAAACATTTTTGGTAAATTAATTTTCCGCATAATTTACAATCTTTTTCACATTTCTTTATGTTTCCATGTTTGGCAAACATGTATGAAATTATTTGTTTAAAATGTGATATTACAACGTTAGATTGTTTAAGTTGTAGTATATGTACATCCAAGTATTCAACGGTATTGTTATCTTTAAAATATTTCAACACACAATTTTTGCAATATTTCTGGGAAAATAAGAGTGTTTCGGAGTATTTATTTTCGCAATAATTACATTTTTCATCATGTTTATTAAAAGAAATAAATTGAATCGGTACAGGACTAGATTTTAATTTTTGCGTCTGATTTGTCTGATTTAATGAATTATTGTAAAAAATATATTTAATCGGTACAGGACTAGATTTTAATTTTTGCGTCGGATTTAATGAATTATTGTTGCAAGTATTTGTAGGTTCCATGTTTTCATATTTGTTATATTTAAGAAGGTTTAAGAAACTTTAAAAATACAACGATATTTATATTTATTCATAATTCTATTTTCCGATTCCATGCATCAAAAATTAAGAATACTCTAATCGAACTTTTTTACTTAAGTTAGTTAGTTTCGTTCTTCAAAATAAAAAATAAAAAGAATCTTCTATTCATAATTCTATATTCCGATTCCATGCATCATAAATTAGGAATTCTAGAATTCCATGGAAGATACTCTAATCTGGCTCAGCGAACTTTTTTACTTAAGTTAGTTAGTTTCGTTCTTCAAAATAAAAAATAAAAAGAACCTTCTATTCATAATTCTATATTCTGATTCCATGCATCATAAATTAGGAATTCTAGATTCTAGAATTCCATGGAAGATACTCTAATCTGGCTTAGCGAACTTTTTACTTAGGTTAGTTAGTTTCGTTCTTCAAATAAAAAGAATCTTCCAACAATTATGCATGTCGGTGTTAAATGGTTACTGTGATACTGAATTTTATGCATCTCCGTTTTGTGGTCGCGATGGTATCATAAATTTGGCCTGCCCTATAAAAAATTTTATCCGTTATTTCTGTAAAAACTTCGTAAAATGAGCCTTTCTCACGGAAAATGTAAATAATTCGATAAATTCCGTGATATAAGGTTATTAATTCCGGAAATATGAGCCTTTTACGGAAAAAAGATGGAATATAAAAAACGGATCGACTTTTTTTACAGGACTGAATTAATTCTAAATGACTCAAATGAGCCATCACTTGTAAAATTTTTTATACAAATTGACTTCAACTTAGAACCAACAATTAATATATTTAATGTGATATATAAAGCTTTATAATAACCTTTATTTCTTTCATTTGTACGTCATTTCATTTATTTGATATGCTAATTTTTTTCACGATCTATAGAATCTTGCATTATTATGGCTTTATTTTATATTGTTAATAATCATTCGTATAAACTATCTATACTAGCACATAACAACAGCAACTTTAGTCGTCATATAATAACAAATTTTTATACAAGGGGTGATGAATAGGATCAGGCACTAAAAAAAGCTGAGATCTCTCCAGTCACACTTAATTGTCACAACGTCACGTGATAAAATAAACCAACTCATCAAATTAAGAATTCTAGAATTCCATGGAAGATACTCTAATCTGGCTTGGCGAACTTTTTACTTAATTTAGTTAGCTTCGTTCCGCAGAACGCAAAAGAATCTTCTAATTATGCATTCTGAAGGTCGGCGTTAAAAATGATCGACTGTGATACGTTGGGGTGAATTTTATTATGCTATTGCCGTTTTGGGTCGATATAACCATAACAAATATTATCAAATTTGCTTTACATACTGTATTCCTAAATCAAAATATTTATTTTCATCTTACGTTAAGAAGATAAATGAAGTATATATTGACATAAAATTTAACGAACCTATTGTTATATATTACGACAGATGAATGTATAAGTAAATTTTATTTTAAGATTATTTTGTTCCGGATTTTTTTTTTTTTGAGCAGATCGTAATCAAAAATCATTTATATGAAAAATAATAATTTCGAAAAAAAAGAATATAAATGGTAAAAAAATTGGAAATTTGATTCCGGAACAGAATTCTTCCAAGACTTAAACAATGGTAAATATATTATAGATTGATTTCTTTGTGATAAAGTTCTATCCCATCAACCTAAAAAGAGAGTTTATTATTAATGATATAAGGCAATGATGTGTATTAAAAGCTTCCAATGACTCTTTATTGGAATTGAATCTTCTAATCCTTTCCTTCTAATATTCCAATAATTATTTATCCATATTATCTATCCTACATATAAGGAATTGAACTAATAATTGAAAGTTCCACAATCTTCCAGTGCACATCACTAATTTATAAAGGTCAAAAAAATTACAAGTGATCTTCCTGTATACGACAATCTCTTTTTAACTTCACCACAAATAAAGATTTTTTAATATTTCTTCAATTCCGTTCTTAAAAATATTTTATAGAAAGTCGGAATACTGACTTTAAATAAACTTTAAACGGTATTAAAAATTATCTTATGGGTTATGAAGTAGCTTCCTGCCCAGAATTTCACCCTAATTTTGGTAGTAGTGATGATCATCATAAGGGATCGACTGGGATCGTGTACAACATTACTTTTTAAAAAATTTTACATTAGACAATATAAATGAAAACAAGTTATCGTTATAGAGAAAATATTAAATATAATTCTGACGACGTACTAACTTTTTAACTTTGTTAAATATTATTATATATGGAGAAATACTTTATATTGCACCAAAAATTTTACCGCAGGAAGTACATGATTACGTGTGAATTAATAGTAGGCACAAAGTATTTTATTACGAGGCGAGGAAAAAATATAGGTTTATTTTTTATTAACTGAATACTATAATTTGTAATGGCAGATTAAATAAAAAGAGTAATATTTCTAAATAAAAACTCAAGATCATGGTGAGTACATTTATATAATTAAGAGGTGTGGAAACTTATTTATACAAAATTAACTTCAACTGATCCAAAGTTCAAATTAATTAAAATTAATATATTTAAAATATATTGTAGTATTTCATTTATTTGATATGCTTTTTAGTTTTATCTTAAAAAATTTTTCACAATTTATAGAATCTTTACATCTTTATAACTTTATTTTATATAGAATAAATATTGTCGTCATATAATAAAAAAAATTTTTAATTAATATATATTTAATAGTTCTCGCCGATTTACATTCCTATCGTGCTATCGTGATGCTTCGGAAATGCCGCAGTCATTTGAACTTGTCAGTCAAATATGGAAATATTAATCACTGTACGACACTTTTTTTGTATATATACTGTACTGATTTTTATTTTATTTTATACATCATTAATTTTTTTTTTTTTTAATCGTCATCGCGGCGTTTAATATACCTTTTTAAATTAATAATGGTAGATTTATTATCCAATGTTGATAAAATTTTTATCCATTTTTTTAAATAAACATCACCGTGAGGATATCAAGAAAAATCAGGAATTATTATTAGGAACCGTGGGATAAATGTATTTTTAAACATCATTAAATTTTTTTTTTGTATTTACTTATTTTTTTTAATCACATTAAATTTTTGTATTAGGAAGCGTTGCAACGAATAAAAACTCTACCAATTCAGCTTTTGATAACCATCTCTATGCCATTTCTCCGTCTAAGAAGGAAGTAGACGCTGAACGAGGTAACTTTTGGATTTTTTGTTATGATAACACGAGAGAGGAATTTCTTAAATACTTTTAACTTAGTTATGGGATCATCGAAAAAATGATGAAGAAGAATGAGAAGTCACAGGAAGTCTACAAGATATACCTTGTAAGTCTCAGATGTTTAGTTTTCTTTTGTATGGTTGTTGAAGTTTATTTTTGATTTACATCAAGAGGAACAATCAAATTCATTTTCATCGACATCTATGGACAATCGAAACCAATAATAGTAGAAGTGGATGGGACCCGAATCACCATAGCCACGCCATTTGCCATTCGATAAATTCTCGGTTCAAAAAGAAAAATCCCCATAAAATAAAGACACAGTTCGCAGGTGCTCTTTGGATGTCACTTTTTGAGAACATAAATGTGTTTTGGAATTCAAGCCAGCAAAAAGATAATCAACATCATATTCGGAGCATCACTCGCGACCCCCAATATATGGGACAGAAAAACCTGGTCAAAATCTGAAATATGAACGATATATATCTCTTTCCACGAGATCAGAGAGGGAGAATTATTCAAAGATTGAAAGAATGAGACTTTAGGAACTTCGCAGAAACAAACCCATGGACTTATCTATACGGTGAAGACCAAAACCAACGATAATCTCCTGAAAATATCAGTACGATTGGGAAAATTAATGGAACCGTACCAAAACTACCAGAGTTACCTCGACTTCTAACAATATTGAAGGTAAGGTTTGCAGTGATAATATAATAAAAGGTTTCTTCATAAAAAATTGCATCACCTTTAATTATTTGCATTATTTGTTAGAAAATTTCTTTTCTTGCGTTACCTTTAACGTGACGAAGATCACTTGGATAAGATTATAAGGTTTATGGATCTCTATTTATTAAATATCAACGTACATTTTTAGATTCAGCTTGTTATAATCCATATCTGTGGACTAACCTGAGTGAAAAAAATACACCTTTCCAAAATTTACACCTTAGAAGCTGTCCCAGTTTTTGATCATAAAACGTCCATTTAATGCTTTCCTGCATGGTAAAAAATGATGTATAGCAGGGTGGACTTAAAAGTTAAATTACCTCACTCGAACTCATTCTCAGGCTCGTTATTCTCAGGCTTCCTGGGCTACAAATACACGTGAAGAAGCTAACATCACCAACTCATCTTCGTCGGTGATGATGATCCTTTCCGGTATCGTAAAATACAGATCACAGATGAAATATTATTGCATCCAAAAGTTAAGGTGTACTTTCGTGAAACGTTTGGTACCACTGATGTTCACCCGGTGTTTGTAGACCATTCCGAGATGATTGTTTGATATTGGATGATCGTGGCATTATAACGAAATGGAAACCTATAGGGAGAAATATGAAGAAAATCAATGAGTCATACTTATCGTGTATATTTTTTTCTGAAGCATATATTCAGAACCTAATAAACAAAAAATAGGACTGGAAGTAACAAATGGTTTGTAATAGAAAAATATTATTTTTTGTGATGCTAAATTATTTTTATAGACGCGTATTAATTTATTTTTTTATATTATTTATATAGGTTCTGACGTCTCTTTTTGGAGGAGTTTCGAAATTGATTATAAGAAATGTATTAACGTTTCTTTTTTTTTAATTTTTGTAAGTTCCAAGCCCTAGACTCTTTTATGATGTGGTATAAATGGTTTTAAATTGACTTTAGGAAACTTTTATTAACATTTTTTTTATTAAAATTCGAATTGGATTCTTGGATAATAGGGTGGCCAAAAAATTGGGAAATAAGTTAGGAGCGATACTTTGAAATTTTTTGGTTGCCCATTAAATCCGCATCCTGGTACGCCGAAATAGACTATTTCAATAACTTATCAAGTTGAATAATATTTATTTCTTGTTTATACTGTATATATGATTATGTATCATTATATAGCGAAGGTTTATTGTTATTAGCGTTGTGCATTTTATTAATTTATAAATAAAATATAATATAATAAATTAAATAAAAGTAAATTATAAACCGGTCAAATTTCATCAAAAATCAATCGGGTATATGAAACCAACCGGCACTTCTTTACAAAAAAAAGAAAAAATTGTCTTTTCTGATATAAAAACAAAACTTTTTTTCCTTCATTTCTAATAAAAAGAGCAAAAAAATCTTTTCTTCTAATAAGGCTAATTTTTTTATTTATTTTTTACAAATCCTTTGAAATTGAATATTTGGGTAAAATTTACAACTAGCGAAATTTACAATATTTTTTATTTTTTTTTTATAGGATCCTTCAGGTTTATTTTCAATTGGATTGGTAAGTTTCAAAATAGTATAACTTATTTGATTTTTTTTTTACCAACATTCTGTTGGATTCTTTTTTTAGGTTTCAATTTTGGGTACTTGAATTGTCTACCAATCTTTTTTTTTTTTGATAAAAAAATAAATCATCTCAATTCAATTGATCAATAGATTAATAATAAAAAAATCTCTTTTTGAGATTTTCTCTTACCATTAACGTTAAATTAATTTTTAAAAAATTTTACCCACTTTAATCACACTTTTTTTTTTTTTTTTTTTGAAAAAAAAGGTACCGAATTATTTTTTGCGTCATTATCACTTTTTGATATAAATGATTAATGAAAATTTTTTTTCGAATTTTATGTATTTTTATATCAATTCACCTTTAGTCAAATGATTAAAAATATATTACTGAGAGTCATTATTTAATTTGTTATTTTTTAATCAAATTTTTGCGAAGTTTTCACTAATAGGAATTTTTATACATTAAATTTTTACAAAAACACTACTAGCTCTGTTTTTTAACATCCATCTTTTTACCATATCCCCTTCTAGGAAAGGAATGGACGCTGAACGAGGTAACTTTTAGTTGTTTTGTTACGAAAACACGAAAAGAATTTCTTAAATACTTTTAACTTATATATGGAAATATATCGAAAAATGGTGAAGAACGAAGAGTTACCTTCTACCATACGTAAGTCTCAAATGTTTAGTTTGCTTTTATTTATGGATGTTGAAGTTTATTTTGAGAGGAACAATCAAGTTCTTTTCCCCATGGACATCTGTTGACAACCGAAACTGATAATAAGAGGTATGGGACAGGAAAAACTTGATCAAAATTTGAAAAATGAACGACCTGTAGCTCAGGAACTGCTCCGTGGACTTGTCTACTACGGTGGATACCAGAACTAACGATAAAATCCAAACAATATCGAGAAAATTAATGTAACCGTACGGAAACTTTCAAATTAATAATGATCCTTTCGGGTACCGTGAAAATACAGATGAAAGATTATTGCATCCAGAACTTAAGGAGTACTTTCGTAAAGTGTTCGGTATCACTGGTGTTCATCCGGTGTTTGTAGACCATTACGAGTTGGTTGTTTTAATGTTGGATGATCGTGGTATTATGTTCAGGTGGAACGAAATGGAACATGGCATGGATTATATGGGGAGGAAGGTCTTGCGAATCACCTTCATTATCCGGAGAATATGTGTCATCGTAGAGAGCACTAGAGAGCTGATAATATAGGTGCCGTCGGAATTGCCGAATTGAAATTACGACATTACGAAATATGGATTTTACCATCTAAATATCTAACAAATCATTAAGATCAGCATTATAGATTTACGGATTACAAATTATTAACGGCATAATCAAAGCTTCATATGCCGTAATTAATTCCGACTGCAAGTATAGCTGATACCCGTAATGGAATTTCGTGCTCGTGTAAATGAACAACTTCTAGCTGAACCAATAAGATTGATAAAAAAAAATTAAGAAGAATAAATAGCCACATTTTCGAAATACCGTTGATTTTCTACACTTCCAACGGCATCATTATATTGTAAATCTTGCAGTTTATGAATATCTAAAAAATAAAAGCGAGTTTATGTTCTTAATCACGCAATGAAAACCTTACATTATTAATGTGCGTTATAATTTGTAATAAAAGTCCAAATTGGGCAGATTGATTTTATCAGTAAACCAGTTACAAAAAACCCTAACGAGGCCTGCATTACCCAATATTTTGTAAATCCGGCCCGAACCGCAAATCAGAATTAGATCGGCAGATCCATGTGATTTATATAATTAATACAAAAATAACACTAATTATTTAAAGTATTTAATTGATTTCAATATTTAAATCGATAAACCCTTAATATATTTCACGAAATTTTTGATTCATAAGAATTTTTGAATATTATAAAATTTACCAAAATGATAAACGACTCCGCCTAAGATTGTTTTGGAAATCAGTCGATTATATCCAATTTGGACATAATTTAAAAATCGTGGATTTTTTGTGTAATAAACATTCTATGAAAGATATCAAGTATTGATTATATATTATTATTATCTCCTTTTTTCCGATTGTAACCTTCGAATTTAAAAGAAAAATTCATAAATAATAATTAAAGCACGAAAAAAAGAACCATAATTCTAGAAAATATTTTTTGTTACACATTTACGTAATAATATGCATAATGTGTATCTAGTCGCATAAAAAAAATTTAATATAACCAAATTATAACCAAAATAAAAGCATCATTAATAAAGCGGTCATTTTAAACGCCGGCACAGAAATTATCGCGCCGATCAATAAAACCTTTTGCCCACTAAAAACTAACGGATATTCCTCAATAAATATACGCCAAATAGCCTTCTTTATTGAATTACTGAACAATACTTTCGATTGTCTACTGAAATGTGATATGGCGTTTAAAGAAATTCGTCGCATATATTAATTTAATATTCTAATTTTATTGATCTGGATTGAAATTACCTTTTAATTCTAAGAATTCTAAAAAAAAAAAATTAAAATAAAAAAATATGAAAGTTCGGAGTATTCGTCCGTTATTACGCCAATTTAAGCCTTGAATGCTTTCTCTGCGATAAAAGAATCAATATTATCAAAGTTGGATAAATAGTTATGTATTGTCTAACTATTTTTATTTTATTTATTTTTTTTATGTCATAAATATTTTTCGTTTAATTATTAAACGTTCGTTTTGTAGATTTGTAGAATAATTGGGGTCCAAATCAGATTACATAATCCTGACAGCTGTCATAACCGCATACATATGCATAATAAATAAATACATAAATTAGGAAATAAATCAAAGGGTAAAAGTTTGAAAGAATTGATTACTTTATCAAGTAGTTGTTTCGGTATTCATTTCGCCACAAATCCTACAAGTAGTACTACATTGAATTTAATTTCTACGATACTCTCTCGTAGCCAGACCGTTCCCGCATTAACACCGAAAAAATACCGATTAATATCTATCTCATGAAAATTGGCTTAGGTAACAAATAAAAACACCTTAAATAGATTGTGCGCTACTGACAGGACAATTCGGGCATTAATTTATAAAAATAGTAATAATCCATGTCACATTTATCTGCATTTAAAATTTTTCATTAGTAAAAATAAATCCGTTTATCACACACTATAATATTCTCATTTAAACATTTTATTTAGATATCACTTATTATTAATAACATATTAACGAAAACTAAAAATTTAGAAGGTAAAGCAACACGACCGACTTTTATTATAATTTTTCAATCTTATCAGCTACCTATGAATTTAACAGATAATAATAGTAATAAGTGATATTTGTTGCACAATGACTTTAGTTAAATCACTAATTTTCAAATTTAATCAATCCTTTTATCATCTCTAGCGGTTCGAGGATTTTCTTTAACCACTTTTTTAACACCTACTTGGAAACGCTTAAAGATAACCTCCAAATGTTGTTGATAACTTTTCAAGAAAGAATCAATCGCTATTCTTGGATTATTAAATTCTTCTTCAAAATAATCCCACTCATAATCATCAAGAATCATAATCCCACCATCTTTAAGTAAATTCCATGATAAAACAGCGTCAGATAATACATCACAAGCAATATGAGAACCATCAATATAAATGAAATCGAATTTCATCCTCTTTTCGTAATTCAACTTGGTAAGAGCATCAAAAGAATTATTTTTGATAATTTCAACTTGCAATTCCTTTCCTGATTCTTTGATATTTCTACGAAAGGTTGTTTCATTATCGTTGTTCACAAATATATTTTCAAAAGTATCAATCGTTATTAATTTTGATTCAGGCTTTTGAAATAATTCATCTAAAATCCATACGGTTGATCTTCCTTCGAAAACTCCAATCTCTAAAACGTTTATTACTTTGCCTTTTAAGCCACCTAAAACTTTTTCCCATCTTGGAATATGCAGTTCAAACCATTTTCTCGTAAACTTATAATTTCTCATTGTTTTCGATAAGAATTTTTATTTCACTCCTTTTAAAACGGAAAAAATACGAATGGGTTACATTTATAACCTACCAAAATAATTTTTGTTTTATTAAACTTTTCTCATGAAAAAAAATTGCCATACTTTATTTGTAAATAGTTTGGTTTCTGTATATCCAAAATGGTTTAATTTTTTATATTATCGGAAAAAAAAATCAATCATTTACGTAATAGTGATGTAATGATTTCTCATTAAAAACTGTGTAACAAATAAAAACCGGAATTAGAATTGGAATTTTACACCCCAAATAATTAATATAGAACCTATTTTACTAAATTTGGTAATTTTGTCATGATATGGCTGAATTTTTGGGGAATTAAGTTTACCATAATTGCTACGTAATTTTGAACTAAAAAAAGATTACGCATCGTTTTTAAAAAAAATTCGATTGTTCGACATACCGATAATTAGCTGTGCTTTCAATATTTCAATATTGAGAAAATTTACTATCGTATTAAACATGGCTCGGTTCTTGTAATTACCATAATTAAAGATTTTCGGATAATATTATAATAATTGTCTCCGCCAAAATTAGCTTACCGATCAATCTTTAATTTATCCAATTTAAGTATATAAATAAATCGTGCGTTTTTTTTTGTGTAATAAACATTCCTTGAATGAAACATAATCATTCAAGTATTTTTTTTTTTTTTTTTCCCGGTAACCTTCGAGAATCAGAGTTTAAGAATAAATAGAATAAACTCAAATTTAGAAATTAAAAAAGCCAGATAATTGGTTAAATTAACTTCAATCAAGATCAAATATAGTTAAAAGATAAATATATAAATAAAACATAAATATATCGATATAGATAAAAGAAGATAAATATCGTTGGTCATCTGAGAAATAATAAATATTTCAAAGTTTAAATTTAAAAAAGGAATACATTATCTTACATCAACCTTTCATTCGACCTACTTTTGTAAAAATAATGGTGTAATTATATCTCGAATGGGTTAAGTTTGAATCGAACCTTTGAAAGAATTTCAGGATTTTTCCAAAAAAAATTTCCGTAACACACTACGAACGGATATGCGACATCACATATATTATGTAATATAATTACATATTTAGTTTAATAACTGATTTTTTTGTAATATAATAAAGCAGTCACGAGTTATCGCGCCCAATCGATAAGATAATTTTTTCGTTGATAAAAGTATATTGTAAAGCGTGCATGAATCGTTCCAAATCAAAGATTAATGCGGATATTTCTTAATATATATTGCGCCTAATAAGTTTTTCCTCTATTGAATTATCATTTCCAACGAGTAACGATAGAGAAAGCCTTCTTGGCATTTTCTCATTATTTTCTTTTCTTTCGCAAATTCAAAGTTGATGTTTAAAGAACAATACTTTTATTGTTTGATGGAATGTAATATGGCTTTAAAGAGTATTTTCAATTTTTCGCGTATGCCCGTACGTCAAAATATAGATAAAAGATAAGTATCGTTGGCCATCTAAGGGATAATAAATATTTTAAAGGAAGTTATCTTGCATCAATTATTTACTTAAATAAAAATAATGATGTAATTATATATCGAATAAGTTGAGTTTGAATCGAACCTTTGAAAGAATTTTAGGATTTCTCTAAAAAAAATTTCTGTTACACACAACGAACGAATGTGTGACATCACATATATTATGTGAGCTATCGCACATAATATTTTTTTTGTAATATAATAAAGTAGTCCCCAGGCTTTTAAACTGCATCGCGGAAATATCTCATGTCCAATCGATAAGATATTGTAAAGCGTGCATGAATCGTTCCAAATAAAAGATTATTGCGGATATTTCTTAATATATACAGTATGCGCCTAATAAGCTTCTCTATTGAACAACAAATAACGATGGAGAAAGCCTCGTGTCATTTTCTCCTTATTATTTTCTTTCTTTTGTAAATTCAAAGTTGATGCTAAGAACAATACTTTTATTATTTGGTGGAATGTAATACGACTTTAAAGAGTATTTTCAATTTGTCGCGTATGTCCGTACATCAAAATATAGATAAAAGATAAATATCGTTGGCCATCTAAGGGATAATAAATATTTTAAAGTTTAAAAGGGAAAAAGAAGTTATCTTGAATCAATTATTTACTTAATCAAATAATGATGTAATTATACATCGAATAAAGTTGAGTTTGAATCGAACCATTGAAAAAATTTTAGGATTTTTCTAAAAAAAATTTCTGTTACACACAACGAACGGATATGTGACATCACATATATTATGTGAGCTATCGCACATAATACTTTTTTTGTAATATAATAAAGTAGTCACGAGGCTTTTAAACTGTATCGCGGAAATATTTCGCGTCCAATCGATAAGATATTATAAAAGCGTGCATGAATCGTTCCAAATCAAGGATAAATAAGGATATTTCTTAATATATATACGCTAATAAGATTCTCTATTGAACAACGAATAACGATGGAGAAAGCCTTCGTGTCATTTTCTCATTATTTTCTTTTTCAAAGTTGACGTTAAGGAACAATACTTTAATTGTTTGGTGAATGTAATATGACTTTAAAGAGTATTTTCAATTTGTCGCGTATGTCCGTACATCAAAATATAGATAAAACATAAATATCGTTGGTCATCTGAGGGATAATAAATATTTCAAAGTTTAAAGGGAACTTCGAAAAGAGGCTATTATCAATCTTTCACTTGAATTACTTGAATAAAATAATGATGTAATCATATCTCGAATAAGTTGAGTTTGAATCGAACCTTTGAAAGAATTTTAGGATTTCTCTAAAAAAAATTTCTGTTACACACAACGAACGGATGGGAGACATCACATATTATGTAATATGATATCACACATTTAGTTTAATAAACAGTTTTTTTGTAATATAATAAAGCACTCACGAGGCTTTTAACCTGCATCGCGTACAATCGTAAAGCGTGCATGAATCATTCAAAATCGAAGATTAACACGGATATTTCTTTATATGCGCCTAATAAGCTTCTCCTCTATTGAACAACGAATAACGATGGAGAAAGCCTTCTTGGCATTTTCTCCTTATTATTTTCTTTTCTTTTGCAAATTCAAAGTTGATGTTTAAAGAACAATACTTTTATTGTTTGGTGAATGTAACATGACTTTAAAGAGTATTTTCAATTTGTCGCGTATGTCCGTACGTCTAAATATAGATAAAAGATAAATATCGTAGGGATAATAAATATTTCAAAGTTTAAAAGGGAACTTCGAAAAGAGGCTATTATCAATCTTTCACTTGAATTACTTAAATAAAATAATGATGTAATCATATCTCGAGTAAGTTGAGTTTGAATCGAACCTTTGAAAGAATTTTAGGATTTCTCTAAAAAAATTTTCTGTTACACACAACGAACGGATGGGAGACATCACATATTATGTAATATATCACACATTTAGTTTAATAAACAGTTTTTTTGTAATATAATAAAGCAGTCACGAGGCTTTTAACCTGCATCGCGTACAATCGTAAAGCGTGCATGAATCATTCAAAATCGAAGATCAATACAGATATTTCTTTATATGCGCCTAATAAGCTTCTCCTCTATTGAACAACGAATAACGATAGAGAAAGCCTTCGTATCATTTTCTCCTTATTATTTTCTTTTCTTTCGCAAATTCAATGATGACGTTAAAGAACAATGCTTTTTATTGTTTAATGAAATATAATATGCCGTTTAAGAGTATTTTACATCATTTTTTTTTCTCCCACGATTTATTTATTTACTCGAAAAATTTATATATGTGTATATAATATAAATGATTTGTCGTGAATGTCCGTATGTAAAATTAACGAATCAGATAAATTAATTTATACAGACGGATCTTGATAATTTTAAGAATTCAAATTTATTATAATAGAGTAATATATGAAATTCGGGCTTCTTTATTACGATAAAAAAGTTCATATGGAAATTACAAATTAAGTCTTAATTATTTTCTCCGCGATAAAAAAAATTAAGGTTACCAAAATTGGGTGAATAATGAAATGAATCAAAGAGAGCTTTCTTTAAGTCATGTGTCAATAATATCATTAAGAAAATATTCAGGGATTATTTTGCTTTGAATTTTTCTTTTCTACTTTAATGAGATCAAAATAGATCAAAATAAAACAGTACAATTAATATAACACCAAATATTATAAAAAGGCATTGACCGCGTGAGAAGTTTTGCAGATTTTCTATCGAAAGATCCTCTCGTATACAATGGATTCCACCAAGTACGAAACGCTTCATCATCCTAATGGCGCGGGCCAATATTCGATTTCGATTCCCCATTACGGATTCTTTAATATAGAAATACAGTCCGCTAGTTCCTATAAGTTCAAAAAATATAAGAAAATAAATGGTTTCGTTTTATTCAGATCTTTAATTCAAAAAATTTTCTTTAAAAATGTCGAACACGGTTCTCGTAAGGCGAGCAAATTCTGGAAAGTTGCGGACCCAGAATTTAAGGATATATTCGCCAATATTGCTCGAGAAATCACTCTCCAAATGGACAATGAAATCGAATTTAAACATTTCCGGGCAAATTATGAATCGAAGCCTACTAAGTCCAATAGGTTTAGGTTCAATAATAAATTTGCGAAACCAATGAAGCAGGAGGTACGAATCGGGAACCATTACCAGGATGATGTTAATTTATTTTCGTATGCATCAAATCCTTAAGTTCTTATCGATGGAATTCTCAATCGCTCGATTTTCATTTTTTTTATTTATTCGTGTATTTCGTTTTTTTTAAAAGATATGTCACATTTATTTCGTTGTTTTTTTTTTCATTTCGTCGTTAAAATTTGTGGGGTTTTTTTTTTTAGTTTTCGGAATTTGGTACCAAATAAATCGATAATTCGTACGCATTTTTGTTGTTATTATAAATATAGAATTTTTTTTTAAAGCTGGCAAAAAATAAAAAAAACCGATGAGCCTATTATTACATGATAGGATACAATTTTAATCATGTGATCATCTTTTTTAGTGATCTTCGTAATTGTTATACTGTCCATTATTATTTTTTAAATTTATATTGACATAAAAAAAGATTAAATCGATGATTCTTGGAGTTGTTCGATCTAGTCCTTTTATGTCAAGAGTAAATATTTATAAATACATAAAACATGATATTTATTAAAATTAAAATTTTGCAGTCTTTTTACTATAAATTATGAACAAAATAAAATATTTGTTCCTAAAAGATTAGTAAGATTAGTTCAACAAGCACATACATGATTATAACATCCGATTAGCTAACTTTTGCTACCGTATGTACATATTATGTTATACCGTTAATCAATGGATTCAATGGTCCTGACTCAAACCGATGATGATACCGTTTCACGAAAATTTTTTCATTTCAATAATCAAAATTTGATATTCTTAAATTCTTATACAAAGAGATGTCGATCATCCGAACCCACCAGGTTGAAAAATGTGAAATTAGTAAAGATCTACTTCTTTTCTGTTTGATTTTGGGACCATTTGACCATCTTTAGAATGAATGTCCTTTAACGAATAATAACGACAAATTTCGAAAAATCAAATCTGGGATTTAATATTTTGATGTCTTTTTTTTTTAATATAAATATTGAATAGAGAAATTTTAAATCAAAAAAATTGACCGCGTGATTTAAAAATTTAACTCCCTTCAAACAGTGTTCCAAATTAGGGAAACTAAGTTCGGAGTTTTCGGTAAATCATTTATTCTTTGGATTATTCTTTGGAATTTTCGGAAAAATACCCTATATTCCTATTCATCCATCTAATATTAGTAACATTATAAAAATTAATATCTCTTAATAAAAATAGGAAAGTGAACGGACTAATTCAAATCTGGGAGTTACACTACAATAATCCCGCTTTTTTATTTGTCTTTATAAAAAGAAATAATGTTTAACCGATGTTGCACGTATTTCAATCATATCGTGAAAATAATTACCAATTAGCTTAGTTAATTGGTTTTAATGAAAAGATAAAATAATATATAAATGCTTCGTTTTTATATTCATTAACTTTCAAAAAAAAAAAAAAAATCAAAAAAATCAAAAAAATATCAACTTAAAATCTAAGTTATCAACCATCTTCTGATTTTGTAATATTAACAATATGAACTACAATGAGTTATACCAACAAAGTATGATCTTGAATCAACCTAATCAATATTATCAGCAGCCTAGGACCCCGAAATATATATGTAGAGGTCAGGTCCAGAAGTGGTCCAAAATACGCATTCTTTCAGGGCCGGAATTACGATAATTTCAGCTATTATCTAAATTAGTAAATATTATTTTGGCTGGGATTATCCATAAAAGGAATGATCTACATGATTTTTTTGACTCATTATACGCAAACTCTGACCTGACCCTTTTATGTATATTTCGGGGTCCTAGCAGCCTCAATTACCTCAAGAAAGTTAATTCATATATGAGCGAATACAGATTTTTTTATGAACCAATCAATGATAATCAAATTTATGAAATTATTTGTAAAGAAATTTCAGTCGAACAATTACTAAATGACTTTAATGATTCAATTTATAATTATAATCAACCAAATAATTGTTTCCAAAATCCAATTGATAAGAAAATTTATCAAGTGACTTGTGAAATGATTTCACATTCAGTTATTGTTCAGTTATTAAATAAGACTCTTTATAATATTGAATTAAATTTAAATGAACACCAACAACAGCAACAAGAGTTTTCTAAAGAACATAAAAAAAATCTTGAATTTCACTTGAAAAATTTTCTAACCAATTATACGGTTCCAAAACAGCAAATTTACGAACAAAATCATAATTCGAATTTGAATTATATGCAAAATAATTTCAATTCAAGTCAAAATTCTACTGTTATTAATAACTTTTCGAATAATGATGATAACACGTCCTGTATACAGAATTAACATTAGTAAATTATACGGTATCTATCATTGATTATATGAAATAAGGTTTATAAGCATAATATTTTATACTCATTAAATAATTTAATAACAAAAAGATTATATGCAATATGAAACAATATATGAATGAATGAACAGAAAATTAATATAATTAATGTAATTAATAGATTAGATATTAACCAATATAAATTAGAAAGAATATCCGTTGTATGATAACTATATTCAACTACTTTCTTTCTAAAGTAAGTGATACTACTAGATATTATATAACTTAATTGGTTTACTCCAAATGTTGTATTGTAAAATTTGTACTAATGATTTGAATCAATAAAAAGTTACATTTTTACAGATCGTCAATTTAACTTGTTTTAGTTAATTAGATTATCGATTTTGGAAAATTATAAAGGGCGGCATTTGTTTACATATATGTATGTATTTAAGGGGGAGCAAGTATTTGAATCTTGACCCGTCACGTACGTGAAACTTGACCCACCCGCATGCACATTGTCGATCCTATTCATGGTGTATTGTAAAATATATGTGATCGACAACGTGCATGAAGTGGTCAAATGTGACGCCTGTGGCGGGTCAAGATTCATATTTTTGCATTTAAGGAGGTCAAGATGCATGTCACAATGTGCCGTACCGTACACAGTCAATCTAAGAAAACTGAAAAATAAAGAATCTATTTTATGCAGAACCCATAGTTCCAACGTTTTTATAAAAAAATATGCCAGAAGCAATAGTTCCGGCATTTTTATATAAAAAAACCAGAACTATTAGCTCTGGTGTTTTTTGTATGTAAAAAAAAATGCCGAAACTGACAGTTATGGGCAGCCTAATTGTTTTTACTATTACAAAGCGGTAATTCTCTTTATTGTATAATCAATCTAATAAATAACATATAAAAAATGAATTTTACAAAAATACATATTAACTTGAACCCATCCCAACTTAATATAACAATATAACACTATGGAAAGACTCATAATAAAATATTGACATCATCAAAAGTTTAGGAGTTGTTAAAGAGTACGTATTAGAACAACATAAATATCAAACTGTTAGAGCGGAGACGAACACGTTGAATTCTTGATCCAGAAATGGATACGATCAATGGTATTCGATGATTTCCAGGAGAAATCAAATTAGAAGGAATCAAAAAGAGATGTAAATGGGAGACGTATAAGAGATTCTAGGAAAGGAATATCAAAAGTATATATAGTCGACTGGTGAGTAAAGGTTACAAAATTAATTAAATTCGGTAAAAAATTAAATTTCAGGAGCCAGATTGTTTACCTTGCGAATTTTGAAACCGAAAAAAAGTTATTAGAAGGATTCACTCAAGTTCTAAAAAAAGTAGCTAATAGTGGACGTAAACGCATGGACGATTCATCGCGTTTCGAGACAGAAAGTAAGAACTAACGAAGAAACAAAAGAAGAGCAGGACAAAAATATCGAGGTGCCGGAAGATGTAATGGTAGACACGGTTAACAGATCTAGAAAAGCCGTACCTGAGTCATCAACATATAAAATCTCTGATTATGCAACGCCAGATGAAGTTACAGAGGTTGTAAGAAATTTTATCCGTTATTTCTGTAAAAAATTCACAGAAAATGTAAATAATTCGATAAATTCCGTGATTAATTCCGGAAATATGAGCCTTTTGTGGAAAACAGATGGAATATAAAAACGGATCGACTTTTTTTACAGGGAGAACGTGGTACCAACAGAATCAGCTGATAAAGCAAACGAATTGACTTTAGCGAAAAGTTTCAGAAATTAAAGGAAAATTCAAAGAATTAAAGATCAACGGAAAATAAAAGTAAATTTTTTCTTTGTAGCCACGAATTTAACAGTAGCTGCGGGGCTCATTCATCCTACGACTCATATCAATGAAAATAGTTTCGTACCTGAAGGTCATGCAAAAAAAGCTGAGGAAATCAAGGAATTTGACGAGAATAACGTGAATTTTCGGTTAGACTTCAGAAGTGCGTGTTACTAATAAAAAAAAAAAAAAGGATTCATAATAAAATATACAGCAAAAGAAAAATAAGAATAAAAATTATTATTTAAACAATCGGTCGTTAACCTTGATATAAATATGTATATATATTAAAATTACCTTGATTTGACTCAATCGTTATCCTTAGATTTTTACGCTCATCTTTAAAATAATCCACTCATCATCATCAGTGTATAAATATTTAATACTCTGAAAATTCGACCGTGTGTAAACTAAGCAGCATTTCTACTTCAACGTTCTTAATAATAGTGACGTGTACGATCCCATGTATCAGAAGTCCAACTAATCTCTTGTGAAAATATTATCCTGAAATCTGTGAAAATTGTTGGGAAATAATGAAAGTTCTTTGAATCTGAATATGAACAAATTGATTATATTAATTTCATATTTTAAAATAGGAAAAATTCCAAATACCTACGGAAGTGATTAAAAAGTACAGTTCCTCCTCACTATAGTGAATCCTATAAGCTGAAGATTAAAATTCGTTATAGTGAGAAATTCGCTATACTGAGGGTCATTTTATTATATATATAAAAAAAATCTGTACCTGAACTTTTCTTCATAAAAATCCACTATAGAGAGGGTGAACTGTAGAAAAGAAGGATTTTACTTAGGAAAGATTCTTTGATTTGAATCCGTGAAAGAACTTCGTCGATGATGGTCCTTTGTATCTCCATCATATTCGTTACCTTCTTCAGGAATTCTGGATAAGTATTCAAAAAGTATAAATAATTATTAGCTTTGACTCGGTTTTTGAAATAAGTCAACTAAAATTCAGAGGGTCACGTTAACCTCCATCTCCAAAGCATATATTTTTGTTCTTTAGGTCACTCAAAGTCTATTCTCACTTATAAATTTACATGAAAATTGTTTGAACAACATATTTCAAATTTCTCATTTTTTATATGAACTTTTTTAAGGGTCACTTTCGTTCTATAGTATCTCGTTCTGAAACTTAAAATTTCAAGAATATTTTCATTCGCATTCTTGTATAATGAATTTGTTCGAAAAATGAATGTTTTTTAATCTGTTAATTTTTCCGTTTAATAGAAAATATGAAAATATGAATTCGATAATGATATAAAAAAAAATATTTTTCTTAAATTCGGTTGTTTCGTTTATGAGAACATTTTGAGCGCATTTTCCCATGTATTTCTTTGTCATCTTTCCGATTATACTATTGCTTATATAATATAAGAACAATCAAACTAATATTATATAATAAATTTAAGTATTTAATATAAATACTCATGAAAGGTGCCCTGTGCCCCTAGAAACAATAACACGATATTCTGGTTATCTGGTAACACTATGGACCATACATTGACAAATTAGTAATATATAACGGTTAATGGTTTTAAAGTTCCCAGAAGTAAAATGTTTAAAATCAGCAGGTGGATGTGACGTTGTGACACCATGTGATAATTTTCCTGACCCGGTTCCCGTATTTTTTTGCAGAATTCATATGAACTTATGAACTTTTTTAATTTACAGTTTAACAAGTATCTTGTCATACATGAATAAAGTTTCGTCCAACTAAAAAAATGCCAAACAATACTGCGTAAAAACGGTAAAACCGGGAAAATCAAAATAAATTAAAAATTAAAAATTTGTATTAATCAATGATACTCGTGATTAATAACTCGGATAATATTTTTGAGTAAAGGTTTTATATCATATAAGTAAGTATCTTTTAATTGACTTCTTTATTTTGATAATAAAATTTAAAATTTAATATTAAACAAATAAAAAAATTTTACAAAAATACAAAGATTTTTATAAAATACAACTTATTTAAATTTGTCAATATTTCCTCATACACCTCACATATGAGAGCAACTAACATAAAAAATATATTTCTTACATATATTTAATCGACCGTTTTGTCATCACGAGGAATTCGAGGAACCTTCCTAATCACCTTTTTAATCGCTACTTGATAATGCTTATAAATGATCTCTATTTGACTTTGATAACTTTCTAAGAATGAATCAATTGCAACTCGCGGATTATTATATTTTTCTTCGAAATAATCCCACTCGTAATCATCAAGAATCATAATTCCTCCTTCTTTTAATAGATTCCAAGATAAAACCGCGTTAGCCAATACATAACTAGCACTATGAGAACCATCGACATGAATGAAATCGAATTTATCCCTATTTTCATAATTCAACTTGTTAAGAGCATCAAAATAACTAATGTCTCCGATGGTTACAATTTGATTTTCTTTCGCTGACTCTTTGATATTTTTATAATAGGTTTCCTTGTTATCTTTGGTTGAGAATATACCTTCAAAAGTATTTTCAAAGGGGTCAATTGCTGTTACCCGTGAAGCTGGATTTTGAAGTAATTCTTCTAAAATCCATATAGTTGTTTTTCCTTCAAAAACTCCGATATCTAAAACGTTAATTTTTTTATTCTTTAAACTGCCTAAAGTTTTTTCCCAATCGGGAATATGTTTATCAAACCAGTTTCTTGTGAATCTATAATTTCTCATCGATTCTGACGAACTTTCAATAATTTTTGTTTTACTTTTTCCAGTAACGACGAATTTTTTTTTTTATTTTCGATCGTTTTTTTTTTTTGTGATAGAAAAATGATGAATGAGTCATTATTTAAATAGTTATGGCATGCAAAATGACATAATAATAATGTAAGTCTTAATAAAATGTACTTGTTTATAAATTTGGAAGTTCGTTTAATAATGATTATTTTTTTTGTTTAAAAGATTGTTTAATTTTTTTCCCATCTAAGATATCTAACGCCTTATTGTGTACACTATTCAAATAATTTACTGCATATTTTCATTCGTAGAACCTTGGAATCCTAATAACTTTTTATTCGTCAATACTGTCACGTAATCATCATCCTAGAATAATCAATTATAAATACACTATTATTGTTATTGCATATCTGTCATACTTTTATACATGAATGATAACATGTCCAATATATTAGCATAGCCACATAAGTTAATTTTTAGGAAGTTGAAAACGAAAATCAAAAATCTGTGGAACGATTTAGTTGGGATTGATGAACTCCTAGAAAATTAATAATCTTTGATCTTGGAATAAATATCATAAATTGTGGGAAAATAATTTTTGTACATAATTTATTTACGTGATCTATAACAAAAGAACACAAAATATACAACTAATTTGGATACACACCCACATATACATATAATTCCTCCTTAATACCACTATATATCACGCTCGTATACTAATTCCTCCTTAATACCACTATATATCACGCTCGTATACTAGCTATTCATCTTTAATCAAGAGACTTATCATCCCTAGGGGTTCGAGGAACTTCTTTAACTACTTTTTTAACAGCTACTTGGAAACGCTTAAAGATCACCTCGATATGTTGTTGAAAATTTCTTAAGAAAGAATCAATCGCTAATCTTGGATTATTAAATTCTTCTTCAAAATAGTCCCACTCATAATTATCAAGGATCATAATCCCCCCTTCTTTCAACAAATTCCATGATATGATAATGTCATTTAATACATCACAGGAAATGAGTGAACAACCATCAACGTAAATGAAATCAAATTTTATACTCTTTTCGTATTTCAACTTTGTAAGAGCATCAGAAGGATTACTTTTGATGATATCAACTTGACTATCCTTTCCCGACTCCTTGATATTTTTACGAAAGGTTTCCTCGTAATCATAGTTCACGAATATATTTTTAAAAGTATCAATCGTTGTTAACCTTGACTCCATATTTTTAAATAATTCATCTAAAATCCAAACGGTTGCTCTTCCCTCGAAAACTCCAATCTGTAAAACATTGATTTTTTTATTATTATTCTTTAAGTCACTTAAAGTCTTTTCCCACATCGGTATATGTCGTTCAAACCACTTTTTTGTAAATTTATAATTTCTCATTATTTAAAGATTCTCTCGCTCTAATAATAAATTATTTTTTTTTTTTTTTGATTTTTTTTTCTGCAGATGAAAAAATACAATTAATAAATATAGTTTGAAAATAATGACATAATATTCACGTAAAATTTTTTTTACTTTCCAAAAAAATAAATTTTTGTTCTTGTTTATATATTTGGAAATTCATTTCTTTCTCACGCAAAATCATTTTTCCATGGATAAGTACATATTATATAATCTAAAAAGTATGAAGATCGAATTTTTTATATAATGTGTAACAGACTACTGTATATTAATCACCAAAATCGGATCTATATAAATATATAAACTATACGTAATTTACAATAAAATTACAAAGAAACAAAATACAATCTGTAACGTTAGAAATAATGTTACAATAGGATGTAATCAATAATTGAGAAAATTCTTTTTTTAAAAAACGTAATTATTTTTTTTCTTTGTCAAATTTCGGTTTAATGTACAAACAATAATTTTAAGGAATGAACTTATTCAATAATTAACTTTTTGGTTAATAAAATACAGGCTTTTTTTTTAATTTCCAAAAAAAAAAAAAAAAAAAAACTAATTTCATTGTATGTAATTAACTAATAATCACTCCCCATGCGTGTTTTACGCCATTTTATTATTATTTAAGTATATATAATCAATTATAGATATAAAATACATATGATTTTTCAAACAATCAAGGGGAACATGCATTGTTATCTAAAACTCCTCGTTTTTTTGTTGTACAAAAAATTAGATAATGGTGATTCTAAAATAAAAATTTTTTCCGTATTAATCATATAAAAGAGTTATTCTGGCTTATGTTAGATTTTGCCATATTTAAACTTGCTAATTGAAGTAGGTAATAGTATGTCCAATGAAAAATCATTCTTTCAGCAATTTTCCACCTTTTTAATATATATATATATACACATATATATAGCATTTCGTGGGACATTTTAATATAATCTATTTCCCAATGATCATAGTAACATTTGGCCAGTTAATAACAGAAAATGAACTGATTAACAATTTTCTTGGTATATATATTTTATTGTTATGTAATTTTATTATCGGTTATTATATTAATTTTGTTTAAGTCAAAAAGAAAAATTCAAAAGCAATAATGGATGGTAAATATCATGTTATAACTAGTCATGACCGTCAATTGGTCAAAAACCTTTGACCAACCGTTTGATCGCCCGTTGACCACTGCTTGATCGACAACTTCGACCAATTATAATAATTTAAATCAAACATCATTTTAACAAATTATTTTACAAATAAAATAAATAGATTTTTAAAAATTTTATGTATACATATGCCAATTATGCCATGCAATATTTAAAATGAAAACATTTTTTTCAATTTACATTTTTAATTACGGTAAGTCAAATGGATGCCACTAAGAAAAATATTTTCAGATGTTATTTATTTAATCGATTTTAAATAGTTTATTATAGTAGAATATAATAAAAATATTTCGACATTAATTTTTTCATTTATTCATTTTATGAAATTTTGGTAATGGTTACACCGTTACAGTACAATTTACAGGGGTTTTACCACAAAATCCCGACAACCATAAAATCGACAGTCTACGATCTCGACACCAAGATCTCGACAAACCCAAATCCCGTTGAAATAAAATCCCGATAGTCACAATTTCTGTCAGATAAAAAATCCTGACAGTCAAAATACCAAAGTTTTTTTTTTTTTTTTAAAAAAAAAAAAAAATTATATAAATTTTCCAATTAAACATAATTTTAAAAATGCAGTGACGCAGTAACGGCCTAACGGATAATTTATTCAATATAATTAAAATATAATTTGTAAATTTTATTAATACCAATGTAAATTGTTCGCAAATTTTATTAATATTAATGCAAATTAACTAACGTTTCTATATTATTAATGAAAATTAAAAGAAAAATTTTTTAATCTTAGTTAAAAGGATTTTGTACAGTATATTAACTAGATTACTAAACTATTCCTTATCTTCTAAAATTAGAAATAATTACATTAACTAATTTCAAATTCATCTGATAGAATCTCAGTCAGGATTTTGGCTGTCAAGATTTTAGATCATCAGGATTCGATATTATGGCTGTCAATTTCACCGACATGAAATTAACCAACGTCATTTTGCTGACTTTCATTTTACCGACATGAAATTTACCTACTCTATTTTTTCGAAATGCCATTTACCGACATGTGAAATTACCCGACTTGCCACCGAAAATTTATTAACTGCGCCTCACTTCTTATTTGCGCCTTAATTTCAAGTGCCGAAATGTAAAAGTTCAACAAACTGAATTAATAATGAAAGATATATAGCACCAATATTAATTATTCCTTTGTAATCTTTTTTTTCGGATTCCTCATTTGAATTACTGAAAGGCAAATTTCAGCAGTTTTACGTATATAATGATAAGGAAAGTTGTACGACAGCACGTGGGCTTTTTTAAAATGATTATTTAAATAATAACAAAATAGGTTGTACTGTACTACTGTAATGTACATGTCATGTGATCTATATTCTCATTTTGTAATACTGGCCAAAATTTTGAAACCAGGAAAGTTGTCTTGTCGAAAATCAAAAAATTCAATATTATTGATATTATCAGGGAACGGAAAATAGTCGTACTGATTAAAATTATAAAATCTTATTTTCAATCACATTTGGTGTCGTTTATTTATTCATTTTATTTTTTTTTAAAAAATAATATTTAATATTTTACTTTGTATAAAAAAATAAGAAATATTTTCGTTATTTTCCTATTCTTGGGCTTCGACAACATTATTCAATTTTTTATTAAAAATTAAAATTGTTTTAAACCGGATTAAAATTATTACATATTAAATGAAAAAAATTAATTATTACAAAATATTACAAGAATATTACGTCTATAAAAAAAAAGTAATAATATAAAAATTAAAAAAAAATAATGTGTTGTATCGGTTGTCGGGGGATTATGATTTGCTAGTTTGTGAGCGTCGGGGTTATGGACCAAAAGGCGTAATAATTGTGTAAATTTACTATTTTACATAATCAGATTATTATAAAAATATAAATAAATAACAGAAAAAGGAAACTTTGTTACAAATTACATATTATAATGAATTAAATTTCCTTTCTTTTGCATACAAAGTAAAATAAAATATTTATATTTAATTTCGGTATCAATTTTAGTACTTCGGATCAAATGATCATTGGTACACAAATTATAAATAAATAATCGATCCTGCATCTTATAATGAAATTTATTACTCTTGAACTAGAATATGCGATTTGCCGGGGGACTTCGTCCCCCAAACATAACATTTATAATTAAAAAATTTTTTGATATAAATGAATTGAATTGTATGTAAAATATTACCAAATAATAAAATTTTATTATAATTAGACCCTATAAAAAATCATGTTTTTAATAAGGTTTTATACAATTTTTTCTTAAAAATAATGTTTCTAATCTATATAGGGATACGAAAAAATGTACAATTCCATATCACAAAAATGTATTATTTGCATGATTTGACCATAATTTATGCCGAATTTATATTGATTTGATCACAGAAATTACATAATTTAAGCATAGAATTTACACGATTTGGTTAATGAATTTACTGCTTAAATTACAATTATTAATATTAGTTGCATTTATATGAATTTGATTTTAATAATATTTTACTAAATTATTAAATCAAATATAAAATCCTTAGTATCATGTGATTATAATTAGCCAATAATATAAATTAATTCTTATTATTTAAAATAATGACGTAAGTTGTAATAAGTGTTTTAAAGTTAATACAGCTACAAAAAAATAAAATTTTATGAAAATTAATATTCAAGTGGTTTTAACCTGCCTGAACAACTTTCAATTAATAAATAAAGTTGATTTCATTTGTCCAAAGTGGAGATATTACGCTCTAAATTAAAGAAA